GAGGATGATGTTCACAAGAGCATCAAGTATAATGTGTGGGCCAGCACACCTAATGGGAACAAGAAGCTGGATGTTGCATACCAGGAGGCACAGGAGAAGCCTGATGGTTGCCCTGTATTCCTATTCTTCTCTGTGAGTACATATTGTGATGCGTTATGCATTTCTTTAAAAAGAATCTGCTCATAGTCTAACCTTCCTGCTTTTATTCTTCTTTCCCAGGTGAACACTAGTGGGCAATTTATTGGGCTTGCTGAGATGGTTGGCCCAGTTGATTTTAACAAGAATGTAGAGTACTGGCAACAAGACAAATGGAATGGTTCCTTCTCGGTCAAGTGGCATATTGTAAAGGATGTGCCCAACAGTTTGTTGAAGCACATTACCCTTGAAAATAATGAGAACAAGCCCGTCACTAATAGTAGGGACACTCAAGAGGTATGTGTGCTTTTCATACTCTCTCTCTCTCTCTCGCACTGTCTCTGTATATATTATATATATATATCCTATATTATTATTTTCTTTTAATGTCCGATGTTTTGGTTTCTACAGGTAAAGATGGATCAGGGGCTTCAAATGCTTAAAATATTCAAGGAGCATTCCAGCAAGACGTGCATTCTTGACGACTTTGGGTTTTATGAGGCTCGGCAAAAGACAATGCAAGAGAAAAGGGTCAAGCAACTGCAGTTGCAGAAGCAGGTATGATATGAACTTTATACTATTATCTATATCTATTTGTTATAAGCTATGTCCACTTTATATAGATACGGATTTAATGTTTAATTACCCATAATTTATTCCTTGCAAACTTCTTCCATTGGTAATTCTGAGCAATACATCTCGATGGTTTACGAATATTGACCTGTATTGTAGGTATGGAATGGTAAGCCTGCTGATGTTGCTGTTACTGATGATAAGGAAAAGGACGGTACAAATGGAAAACTGAGATTGCAGAAATCTGTAGAGGTTGCTTCCGTTTTGCTTAAGGAGTCTTCTACCGTTCAGTCTAATGGAGAGTGGAAAAGATCCGAAGAAAATGCAACAGTTACTGCAGCTAGGGATGCCCCAAAGGGTGCTAAACCAGTTGTAGGCACAGAAAAGAGGGTTGTGTCCAACGGGGTTGCAAATGGTTGCTAGATCTTCCCTTATCAAGAGTGGGTCTATGGTTATTGGAATTGCTAAAGAGTTCGGTCAGAAGTTTTGCCGGATTATTTTAGAAAGTGAACAAATGCTGGCCAACTCCAAGTGGACCTGGCTTACTAATGAGGCAATAAAATGTTGACAGTGAGGGTAGACAGCCCTTCTATTGTCGTTTAAAAAATATGGTGAGTCAGGATCAACTTATTTACATGATCCTCAATATTTGAGTCATCCCTTTTATGAACTTTCCCTTGCCTCTAGGATATTGTGGTGGGTCAGTTTTCTCTTCTTTATGAGTAGATCCTAACTGCTTTTTACTATAGGTTTTGGGTTTAGGGATCTTCTTTTTGTGCTTTTATTTCTTAATGGTTTTCTTTGATCTTTTTTCTTTTAGTTATTTTACCCCTTGTAAATCTACTCCGTTGCGGTTTTTTTAATCTGTAAGAGGACCAGAATCCGGGTGGAGAGTGTTTGCAATAGAGGAATTCAAGAGCTTGAAGAGTTTTTACAGTTATGGAATTGAGTAAGGAGACGACATTGTGATTGTATATCATCCTTCTTTTGCGTGTATAACCCAGATTTATTTGATAAACACCTGTCAATCAAGTTGTTTCTTCTCTGTCCTCTTGTCTCATGGGACCGTAGCTTGCTTTGATTTTAGTAGGGCTCTTTAATGCCTCTGATCTCTTAACAAGTTAGCATTGTTCAGCAACCATCGAATCTAACCATATTATACAATTAAAATCAGAATGGAATAAAAAAATGATGGAACCTTGTATATGAACATGATCGCACTATTCGTCTATTCCTAAACATTTTTTATGGCTTTGCATTCGAAATCAGCATCTGTTTCACAAGCTGATTCTGGGATCATTAATATCTTTGCAGTCTGCATCGATGCCAATAGTCTCACCATCTAAAGGAAGAATCCTTTTTTTTTTTTTTGGTGTTAACATCAACCTTTTCAGTAAAGATGACAATGTATCCATCTTATAATTACAAAAAAAAAGACAAAAATATGGCGAGCTATATCATTGTCTATCCTACTGACAAGTAAGATTTCATATACATCAAAAACAAAGATAATGTTATTCATCTTTAATTGGCAAGAAAAAAAATAAAAAGAAAGCATGTTCTTCACAGTCTTAAGTATCTTCTTATCCCAATGCCATTCCAATTGCGGCTGGTTCATCTATTTCATAACAACTCCATGGCTCCTATAACTGCCCACCATTCAGCTTCAATGTTGCTTCTTGCCCTGCATTGGTATTGTGAAGGTGAAGGAAATATAACTTTGTCACTTTGGAACTCAATTACTACCAGACCTGTAGTAACATAATCTGTAAGTGGCTGATAGGACCCATCCACATCTAAAAAGCTTAATTATTGTAGAAAGAATGTAATCTATAAGTTTATTATAAACAACCTATTTAGTATTTGCATACTCAGATTATGCATTTCTTTTTATAATGCTAGTATGTGCCCTCACAACTTAGATTGCTAAATAATGGATATTTGTGAGTAGAGATTGGGAACTCATTCCTGTGACAACATACATAGAGCAGTTGTTAAAAGCTAAAGAAACATCTAATTTTCCTCTTACCTTGTATTATAGGAAAGCAAGATTATTTTAGGAGTTTCCCATACATCTGGTGGGACTCCTTCAAATATGATTACAAGTTTTACGATATTGGTTACAGCCTACAAGATGTTACAAGGAAGCAAAATCTATCATTGATGGACCAAGTCCCCATTGATGCTATTCGTTCAGTCCAAAAATTGGAAACCTTGAGAGGGATCATGGTGTCTTCCATCATGAGAGACATCGTAGTGAGGACATTTGGTTAAGAATTGAGATCCAACAAGAGATGAGCTCTCTTATTGTTGATACAGAGTCTTAAAATCACGATTAATGTAAATTGGAAATATGACAATTCAAATCGGTATTTTGATACAACAACCAAAATTATCACTACCAAACAATACAAATTTATTGAAAAAAGAAAACAAAACAAATCAGTACAGACAAGGCATGAACCTAATTGGAAATAGGACAGATAATTAGCGAAAATCTATAATGGACAAAACTCCTAATACCTGGCATGAAGTGTCAAATTTGTTTTACATGAAATGGTTGATTTATACTAATAGACTGATCTCCTAAGAAAACGAGCTTGTATTTGGCGAGAGGAGAGACACCCACCATGGTTAAAAGAAAAAATCAAAGACGATTGGTTTTACAAGAAGAGAAGAGGAGAGAGGGAAATCCGGTTCTGGAAATATTCAAAAACAAAGCATGAAGTGGAAATCAATGTAATGGAGGAGGAGGAGGAGGAAGAAGAAGAAGAAGAGGCGGAAAGTTTATCGCTGGTTGCCTGTTCGTCTGCTGTCGGTTTCCTGTTGATTTCCGCCTATCAAGAATCATTCAAAAACAAAATATAAATCAGTTTATAGGGAAGAAGAAGAAAATGCTTACCGCTGGCTGACTTGTTGCCGTTGAACGTCGGTTGCAGAGGGGTTTCTCGCTGGTTGCGGCTAGGGCTCGGAAGAAAGGAAGGGAGTTCAAATGAGGTTTCAAATCTTGTTTTGGAAGCTTTCATCAAAAGGGGCCATCAATGTCCGGATTAACCGGACGAACATAGAGGCCGTGCGCCAATCCCCTGTTCGAACCCGTCGCCGGTCACCATTTCTTCGATGGTGACGGTATGATTCACGCTGTTAGCGTCCACGACGGCTCGGCTAGTTACGAACATAGACGCCTTGAATGCAATCGGGGAATAGGACAAGTACTCTGGCATAGAAGAAAAGAAGCCGAGCAATACCAGGGTGACCGTGAAGCTCACCAATGGCCTTCAAAAAGGCAGGGCGGCCAATGGCTCGTTCCTGAATGGAACGCCGCGTCTTAGTGAAGCGGCAAACCATGCCGTCACCATGGAAGAAATGGTGACCGGCGACGGGATCGAACAGGTGGACCACGACTCCTTCTGGACAGATCCAAGCATCCTGCTATATTCACACGCGAAGAAAGATTTCACGTATACCTTTTCCTGGGAAGAGAAGCCCTTTTCGCACGCGAAGAAGGATTTCACGTGCGGATACTTTTTCCTGCGGGAAGAGAAGGCTACGTCATCTTGACGAAGGCCCTTCCCGCCTTGGTATATATAAATTATAATAGATTACTGTGATAGGTATAAGGCGTATGCGAATGTGTGATTAGGTTTTGAAGGACCCTTACCACCCTGAACCATAAATTCTCAAGAAGTTTGGTTCTTTCTATTGAGTTTGCGTTGATGGTTCCCAAGTTTCGACATTGCAAATCTGTAGCACATTCAACTACACAAAAATATATTATCAGTCTATTGATAGAGTCTGAGTCCGACTTCACCCTGTTCCAACAACCTTTGCAGCCATATGTCGGGAATATCTCTATACTTATGTAATTTATTTCATGCAAGCAGTCGAGGAGGTAACTGGTTTCAATCATGGTTTTGAAAACTGGATTGGATTGGATGGTTTGACCAGTTGACCCGGGAACAGTCGAGGTAACTGGTTTTGTTTCACCCTAAAACCGCTCTTAGGCCAAAAAATGTTGATTTGATTAGTGACCCACTGGTCTGGGCAGTCGATCCATCGACCCGAGCAATGATTTTTGGCCATTTTTTTAATCTTTTTTTTTTTTAAAATCAGAATGGTCCATCCATTTAAACTGGATTGTCAGACCGTTTGACCCAGGAACCTATGGCCAAGATGGTTCCGTGTCTGATCCAGTTTTTAAAAGTTTGGTTTCAACATGTTTAATGTCTATCATCGGTCATCCATGAGAAAAAGGTAAAACACTATGAATACCAACTAAGCACACGAAAAAAATCCTCCTAATTTGTATCACAAATACTTAAAACATTAATAAAAGATTTTACTTTCTTTAATTATCAAAATCTGTAAAATCTATGATGCATCAACTGCACCTTGCAACAAAGAATGCAAACCTGTAATAAGATGATACGTTATAGGGGACATCTTTAATGTTGTTAAGGTTTTAATGTATATACATATACATATACTAATAATTAAGCACATGTATTGCATGTGAGAAAATTTTCTTCATATTAATTGCCTAAATTTTAGATATATCATAGTTAAGATAGAAATTGAAAATTAACAAAAGTAACAATATGATTAAAAATAAATTTAAATATTTTTTATTCAATTATGACATCATGTGTTTCTTAGAAAAGTTGGATCATTGGCCCATCATCTAGATAAGAAAATAGCATTGCTTTTGGATTAGTGTTAAATTAGGGAAAATTATAGTTAGAGCTGGTTGTACATTTAAAATTAGGCTACAAGTTGGTCGATAAACCAACATAACTTTGAAAACCGGCTCTACATTTCAAATGATAAAAACCCACGCCATGTCATTAGAGGCTTATGTGGTTGTTGCCAACATGGGACTCTTAATCCATGTTGGACACAACAAAAAACTTACACTGAAATTGCCTTTTAATGTTGGGTGATTGGAAAATAAAAAGAAGGTTTTTAGTCTCTCTTTCTCTCTCTCTCAAATCTCCCTCACACCACATCACGGTCATCTTTATCTACTCAACGACTATGTGATTTGAAAATAAATAAAAATGGTTTTTGGTTTTTGTATTCATGTTCTCTATATCAATTTCTCATTCTCTCTCTAACTATCATTCTCCCTCAATCTCTCTCATTCTCTTTCTTTGGTTGATCTCTCATTCTCCCTTAATTTCTATCATTCTCCTTCAGTTTCTCTCTCGCTCTCTCTCTCTCTCGTTTGTTTTATTTTCTTACACACTTATATGGTATTAATCAGGTCGTATAAAAGAACATGAGACCAACTTGGTATGATTCTATTACACCCATTTGATAAAAATTCATAAGAAACTCTTGGCTATGAAATTTACACCAAATGGAGAACGATAGAGATTGAGGGAGGAGATATTGACACACACACACACACACACACACAGACAGAGGTTTTGATTTGACTACAAACCGAACCTGAGAGAGTGGGAAAGACAAGGGGAGCGGGAGATCGAGTGATGAATAAGAGAGAAAGGAGGGAGATCGATAAACAAAGGGAGTGGGAGAGAAACCGAAAACTTATTTTCGGTATAGGTTTTTTGTTGTGTCCAACATGGATTAAAACTCCCATGTTGGCAACAACCACATAAGCCTTCGATGACATGGCGGGGGTTTTTATAATTTGAAATATAGATCCGGTTGTCAGAGTTTTGTTGGTTTTTGGACCAACATGCAAATTAATTTTAAATGTACAACCGACTTTGACTATAATTTCCCTTTAGGCTGAGTTTGGAAAAAGTACAAATGCAAATATGTAAAGTGCAAAACCTTATATTTTGTATTGTTTTGTATGTATTTATGTTGTACATATTTGCATTTGTACTCTTTCCAAACTGAGCCTTAAATTATATATTTCATTTACATTATATAAAATATTTTTACTTTTCACACTTAATTTTTATTTGTCTATGGTATCATTTGACTCAAACCACTAACCCACCATCTAAAAATAAAAATTGTTTGATTTCTAGGTTGACATTAAATTTTGTATTACATTTCCATCATTGATAAATTTATTTCTTATGTATAAAACTTATGTTTGTTTAATATAATGAATGCACAATACTAGAGATGTACCCAATATTTTATTTTTTATAAATATATAACATTAGATGTGTGCCCAAAATTTTCTCTATCTTTTTTTGTGATTCTTTGTATTTTCTATTATTAAAAAATTTATCATTTGACTATGACATCATTTAATTTCTAGGTAGATTTTGAATTTGGCATTCCATTTTTATCATTAACAAAAATACTTCTTACATTTCATAGTTATTTATTATTTAATTATGACATTATTTATTAATCCATTTGACCCCAAATGGTCAAATTGCTTGCCCACCACCGGGAGGGAAGAAAATGGTTTTGTTTTCAAAATATTTATTTTTATACTATTAAAATTAATATTGTGAATTTAATTACAAGAATTTAATGATGAGAAAAATATATCTTGAATACAGGATTTAATGAGAGAAAATAGGAAAACATTTTTATTTTCAATTGGTTTTAAATTTTACATTCCATTTCCGTCATTAATAAAAACATTTATTACTTATCATACTTATTATTATTTAATATGCATGTTAAAAATGTTTCCAAGTTTTTTCATTTTATCTATTTTTTTAATTTTATTATTTAGTCGTGGCAACATGGATTGGCCCATTTGACCACAAATGATTTAATTTTTTACCATCACCTAGATGAAAACACTATTTTTTCTAGGTAGATTTTAAAAGTATAAGCTCTTAGATATTGGAATTATTAATTTATTAAGTATGGATTTAATTAGTAGAACTTAATGATGAGGAGAAACAAAAATGACTTAAATATATGATTCGATGCACATGAATGCATGTTAATAACTTAAATGTTGTATTTAATGAGAGAGAATTGAATGAATTGAATATCTTTAAATAACCTATTTTCAACTCATTTAATATCAAGAACCAATTACCCTATTTGCCCTCATTTTTTATCAATAAATTTAAATATAAAGGGATAAATTTTATCCTTAAAAACTTCCAGAAATATTCTTGAGGTCATTTATGCTTTTTAAATACTGTGTAATCTAATACTGTCTTGCAACAAACCATGTTCATGGAAGATTGGAGGATAAAATAGTTTTTTTTTGTGGATTAATTAGTGAATGAATTGTATTGGACCAAGTCCCCTTGGTATGAACCAGTAACCCCCCGAATGGGGTCAATTATTTTCTAATTCTATGGGAGAAATGCAAAAGACACACTTAAGACAGGGAGTTGACATAAAAAAGAGACCACGCACAGGCTGAGCTTGGTTGTCTCCTTTCTGATGGTGCACTACTTCTATGCTAGGCCTCCAATTTCAAATCTGTTAACGTCATACTTGAATGTTTTGTCTGTGGTTTCCTTCTCACTGAATCAATGAAATGGACGATACAACTTACAATTATAAATGCTGATTGATGAAGGCTGTTTAGTCAAGTAATTACTAACATACCCACTCAATATTATACTAGAGAGAATGTGAGGTTTGCAACTCAAACAAACTCCACATTTGGGAATTGGGAGTCCCAAACACAAAGCTAAGGTAAAAATCTACTGGACGACTGTGCCTGGTTAAACCGACTGTACCCTACAAGGCTACAGGTTTGGTTGGGGAATTGTACATATGTAAAGGTGTAAAACAACTGACGGCAACTGTTGCCTGGAAAATTAACATAGTACTTACTCTTCACTACTTCTACTGCTGTCAATAGATCGGGTCCTGAGTCTCCTGAGTCCTGACCTGATAAGAAAACACACCCAGTTCTGTGTTCTGACCTACACACTCTAGGGGTTGTAAGTAAATGATCAGAACCTACTCTATTGTTTATTGGGCTTGTGGGGTCTCACCTCATTATAATAATAGATATCCTCATATATAGCCATGCCCATGTTTGTTTTGATTCTAAATTAAACCTGCTAATTCTCTCTCTCTCTCTCACATGTGAATCTCAACCTTATTTTGATCGGAAGTTGAAGCCAAATTACTAGAGAAGTTGAAGGAATTCTCAAACCCCAATAGATTGTTTATTCATTTAATGGTACAATAGGCCCACAACTTGGCAATCCAAACCTGATGAAGTGGTGGAAACAAAAAGATATGGATTCCAAGTTCCAACAGGTTGGCCGGGTTTGGGTATAGAAATTCGAACCCCCCCTATTCCCACCATTTCTTATCTGCAACTGTCAACCACCAGACCCACCTGGGTCCAAATCATTCATCACCCTTGTTAATGTTCTGACTCCACCCCTGCCCCCACTTCTCTCTCTGAAATAATTCTCCTTGGTGGGACCTTGCTCATGAGGCAGACAAGAGTAATAGTTATGCACCAAGAGACTCAATCATGCACCTTCCACAACACCCCCAGCAAGGCACCATGACTACAACCTACTTGTGCTAAGCTCCATTTATCATCGTTGTGATATTCCACATTAATCTAACCATCTCTCCCACTACCCAAACAAGCCCTGATATTGAAAAGCCATACAATTATAGTAGAGGCAGCACTTTAATTTGGATGATGGATCTTTTATTTATATCAAAAGTGACTGATCTTTAGGTCTATATTTAAATTTCAATTAGTGGGGACATCAAAGTTGTTTATTAAGGAGATTAAAGTAAAGAAGCACCATCTTTTGAAACATCCATCCCGCCATATTACAGTAGATTGGCCAACTCTCTTGTCACAAACAAGCTGGAAATCAATCTCAGTCAGTCTGCACTCTCATTAGGGCATCAATATTTATTAAATTAATAACAAAACCTAAGCTTCCCAACTGATAGACGTGGCTACTGACCATCGTCTGATGAACCCCATACCCATAGGAATGATAGAGATAGATGTCCAACTCCAATCAAACCCCAAATCCAGCTGCTGGCCACCAGAAGATAGGAAGCAAGTGTGTCGGCAGCCATGCTGAGTGTTCTGAAGTGGGTGTCTGCTTTTTTTTTTTTTTTTTCTAACTAATTTATTTATCAAAAGGGGGTGGGGTGCATAGTTAACACCCGGCGTCATTTATTAGAAAGGGGGGGACAAACCAAGGTCCCAAGGGTAGCTGTCCTCTAATAATATTCCTTTTTATCTTTCATGTTTCAAATTTCAAAAGTTCGAATTTGAGAACAACTCAACTGAACAACCATTTGTTTTGTATTGATGGAGCCAGAAGGGAGGAGGGAGGAGGGAGGAGGGAGGAGGGAGGAGGGAGGGAACCCAAATCCCTGCCTGCCTCTCTGTCCTTCCTTCTGTCATGCACTCATGTTCACGCACAACAGCACAAGCCTCCTTGAAAAAGATGTCTTCTATTTTTGCTTCTCAAAATTGAAAAAAAAAAAAAGAAACCAAGAGTCAAGAGTAACATATTAAATAAATAATTGCTTATCTGCTTCCCAATTGCCAGTTTTGGATTAACATCTTACATGTGGAATCATTACGGAGAAACATGCAGATAATATTGAGTTTAATGTTTTCTTTTTGGCAACTCAAGAATATGTCTGAAATTCTAAACCAGAGTGCCCATCCAAAAATTAAAGGAAAAAAAAAAAAGGTTCTAAGCCAGGGAATCCTGTTCCAAACCAGCAAAATCCAATTGGAAAATGCCATCAGCAGCCTTTTTCTTTCAAGCTACTCAAGTTACATAAAAACCCTTATTCAGTGTTCACAAATTAAGCAAATTATTAGTAAATCTTTGAATTTTTACCCCTTACTGATCAAGATAAATTGATGGTGCTGCAGCCAAAGCGAGAATCATACTAACAGTTAATAAAAAGGGTAAAATAATAGACTTTAAGCTCAGTAATGGGGCATTCCGAGAATTGAACTCGGGACCTCTCGCACCCTAAGCGAGAATCATACCACTAGACCAAATGCCCTTTTTGTTTAGCCTGCTCTTCATTACTTTTAATAATTGGGCTTGTGCCAAAATCACATCCCACAAAATAATAAGTTCGAAATTCAAAATTCAAGACACAAGATTTTAAATGCTATGCAAAACAATAAAAAAAAGAAGTGACTCATTCTGGGGAGGCATTAGAGGGTTTTTTTCTTTCCTTCATTTTATTATTATTATTATTTTTTGCTGAAGATTTACTTTAATCGCTATTACCCGTTTGTCTTAAGCATAAAGTTGTTAACTTAAACCAGGATTTGTCAAATTGTCATTCCTTGAAAAGTGCATGCCCTAAACAAGAAAGGATGGGCATTTGCCATTCAAAGAATTTGGGGGGTACTTTCAACAGTCTTCATAAAAGAAGAAGAGGACATGAGTCAAAACACTACTGTTGTCCATTTTCATGCGAATCACAATTGCTGGAAGGATGAAAAACGATCACGTGCATGCAGATTGCAGAGGATTTAAAGTATAACTGCAACCCATCAACTCTCAAAAGAAGGGGCTAACAAGTCAAAACATAAAAGAATATCACCTCTCTTTATGATGCATTTCATCAATATCTTTTGACCACAAGTAAGTCAGCTTTTGGTGATGCTGTGAACTGTGCAGTGAATATCTCCATGGCTCGGTCAGTTAGTTTTCTAGAAAGAAAAAACCTTTCAACTGAAACAATATGCAACAAAGAGTAGAGGAAATTTGGAAATTTGAGAGAGAGAGAGAGAGAACCAAACGAAAGAAAGAAAAAACTTAATTTTGATAATCTAACTGTATTCTTTTTTGTGTATATAATTTCTGTTACCAAATAAAGATGAACAAACAAACCCTTTTTAATCTAACTGGTGGAGTGGAATAAACAACGATTCTGAGATGTAGGACTGTTTCTTTCCTTTCTGAATATTACATAGAATAAAAAATCAACCAAAGAATGAAATATCAACAAACATCCCCGACTAGCAAAGAGAAAGAAAATAGAAAAGAATCCCCCCAAAAGAATAAAAGAGGAAGCTCAGATCCATTTAAACACTAGTTACAAAATTGAAAAGAACCCACATTATGTATATATTATAGCAAAATCCCTCAAGTAGACTCTACACAGAGTTACAGATTTTCTCATTTTCTTTCTTCCTTTCTTTTTTTCTCTACATGGGTAGAATAAATTCAGAGTTTCTATTCACTAGAAACAGAAGAGAGCATTCTCATCTCCAGAACTTTCTTGTGAGAGTTGGAGTGCTTATAGCTCACAAAAGTGGGGCTTTTGGCGGGCCTATACTCGGGAAGCAACCTGCCCGACTTGAATCTCACCCCACATGCATTGCACAGGGTTTTGGGACCCAAAGGTCCTGCCCTCCACTGTGGGGTCTTCTGTGATAGACAATGGGTGCACCTCCTGGGCTGTCCAATGCTACCCTCCACTACGCTGCTCGAGCTGCCTGTTCTGTCCTTGCCCACCATCTTCTCCTCTGCTTTTTCTTCTTCATTTCTGCTGCTGCTGCTGTTCTCTTTTTTGGGTACAATGAGCTCACTGTCGGCCAACCAGTAAGTCTGGTGGAGTAAAGGAGGGTCGGAGGAGGTCACATGGAGAGGTTGGTTTTGTGGGTCTTGGTGAGACCAACTAATTAAAGGGGTGGTTGTGCTCCTTTTTCTTTTGCTTCTGGCCTTGCCTGGAATCACAAACTCTTGTAGACATGGCGTTTGGTGGATCTTTTTTGAGGGTTTGGGTGCTTGGTTTTCTTGGTCTTGGATATTTGTGGGTAGTGGTACGCAGTTCCCAGTGCTGGATAAACAGTCTTCTACAAAGATTGACAGCCATTCCAAGCTAACATCACCTTCCTGCATGTAAGAAGACCACACATTCTTCAACAGGCGGAATCACAAAGCAAAAACCTTTAAGAGACAGCCGACGATAGAAGCTGGATAAATAATCTAGACAAATAACGCAAATAGTAGAACATCTACTCTTTCCTTGATAGAAAGAACCAGAGGAAACGAAAAAGAAATAAAACCCACTACAAAAGTTTGCAAAAGAAAAACAACAGAAGATTCAAAATAACCAGAGAGCGAGCGCGCGCGCGCGCGAGAGAGAGAGAGAGAGCACTCACAAGTCACAAAAGAAAATTAGAAAACCCGTGTATGAAACGGAAAGGTTAAACCCACAAGTGAAACTTCAAGTAGCAAAAATGAGCTAGAAGAAGAAAAACTACTCACTGTATTCTCGCAAGAAAAAAGGTCATCCAGAGAAGTAGAAAAGGCCCCAAGCTTAGGACAGGCCGGCGAAATAACTTGCTCCGGCGGGAGCTCTGAGGGCAAGCCAGCGGAAACTGACACATTCGGGAAGAAATCCATAGTCAAAAAGATACTGAACTACCAGAAGAAGAAGAAAGAAGGAAGCGGAACAGAAAAACAAGTCCCTCCCACCTATCCAACGCTCTTTATGGCCTCGTTTTCTGTCGGCAGAGTATGCAAAAACAAAACTATCGAAATAATCAGCAAGGACTGCAACCCCACATCTCTCTCTCCCCAAAATTAATATATATATTATATATGCTTCAATTTATACATTTCTGATTTCCCCCAATTTATACATCCCCCCAAGCAATGCTAGTAGACCACGAGTTTATGCAGCTCTTATATTCCCTCACCTTCAGAGTTCAAACATGGTGGGGACAGGCGTCACGCCCAATTTTGTTTTCTAGTGGGTCCCGTCATGTGTGTATTTGGGTGGGCGATGAATTCAAAAGTTGCATAAATTCGTCGTTTACTACAATTCTTTCCCCACTCCTCTTCCCTTTGTTTAGTATTATACCATGAAATGATTTCCCCCTCTTCATACATTACAATTTACACATATGGATTATGGAATACAAAAATGCGGGACCCACCTGAACTGATGCAACGTTCCAAATGTGCGGTTAACTATGAATTTCTAAGAGATATAAGCCAAAAAAAAAGGAAATTATATGTGTTTTGGACCGTTGAAATTGAATAGGTGCGGAATTGGTTGAACTATGTGGCTGGCTTATTGGTGGATAACAGACTCCTCTAATGAACACGCAATTCAGCAATTAAGCATCTGACACCCTACTTAATTGCTTATTCACTAAAAAAAAGCTGAAAAGCATTTAGGCTCAGCCAATTCAGCCGTGATCAAATGAACCCATGCGGGATTGGGCAAAATCCCATATTTTATTTGAGAAATGCCAATAAACAACGACTTTTATTATGCAACTCTCAGTTTTCTTTACCCTAAAACAAAGTGAGATCCATGTCTAAATGTGTCTTCTTAAACATGAGCCTTGACTGATGATTAGGGAGTCTTCCTCCTTTATAGATGTGCCCAAATCATTCCCATTCTTATCAGTTATCATCTTAGAAATAAATACAGTAATATTATAGAAAAGTGGGCCTGCTTTTGTAGGCCTAGTAATTACCTCTCTTCCTCCGAGTCACACTTCTTCTACTGAGTCCCTTGATTGACCCTCTCTTGTATAGGATGCTTGGGAGTATAGGTATTTGAGCACAAAAGGATGAATCAAAAAAACGCAAATACGTACGCAATAAACACTTCTTTTGAGAAAGCCCAAATTTTCGGCTTCTACAAAATGTTTTCTTTTCTTTTTAGTCGGGCTTCTCTAAAATGAGTCTATTTTGTTGAAAAAGCGCTTATTGGTCCAAATGCCTATATTGGCCTTTTCTGATGCTTTTGAAATCTTTTAAGCAAGGTTCAAAGTATTGATATATCGTGCCAATGGCTTATCGATACGATCCTTCAGGGGTTATATCGGGTCAGCCACTAGTTCAGAGGATAGCCGGGCCTTAAATCGATCTTTCTGAACCAGTTCGGAAAAAAAATAAATAAAACTTAAAAAAAAATGTACCAACACATGGCATACCAGCCTGTATCGATATTTAGAACCTTGCTTTTAAGTGCCTTTCCCAATAAACACTTAAAAAAAGCACTACCAAACACGGGCTTACTAAAGAAGCAGCTAAATTGCAAGCACCCAAATTGGGTTTGTATTTCCATTTTCAAATAGCCAAAGTTTTAATCCATCATGAAAAAACAGGGGTGATCAAATGTTTAAACAAATGGTCCATTGATATGGATATCTGGTGTAGACTGTTAAAAACTTAAAATGGGGTTGGAGCTTGTAATGGAATGAAACAAACACTTAAAATGCTTACTGTGTGGTAGACAAGTGGGCGATGATCCATTGAAAGGGGGGACCCCTGATTGGGACTGGTCGCTTGATAACCATGTGCACTAATTGATCCGTAGTACTTGTTTGAAGAACAACAGTGTGCAAATTACAAAAAAAACAGGACATCACTTCATTCATCTATTCACTGCACAGGTTGCGGCTAGGGATTGGTTCATCTCGGACACCACTTGATGCATGGTATCTACAGTTCTACTACCAGCTTGGCTTTTAAGAAAGGGGAAAGAAAAAGCTTGTGCAACCGGTAAAACTTTGGGCTGACAAGCTTGTCCACTTCATTTTAGAAATGCCCATACGGTTGAATTCAATTCCAATTCGTTTCTCAGGCTTCAAATGGCCGGGAACCTCTAAACATTTCACATTCTTGTATTTTTCAAGCGGTTCTTCTGATCTTGTCTGCACAAAGTGATGAGAATGAACATTGGATTTTCCTTGTTGCCGTTGTTTTAATTCCAATAACAGAAATTGTACACGTGGCAACTTGTTTTGGTGCTGAACCCAAAAAAAAATGTTGGGGTGTTCTTTCTCCTTTCCCTCCATTTTTAATCCTCGGTTCTTCACCGCATGTTTTCAGAGAAGCCCAAAGCCCTTGTATAGTTCTACTCTTCTATCATCAATTCATCATCATTATATAAAGGGTAAATTATAAAAACCCCGTGCTATGGGGTCTGTGACAAAGACCCCTGTACTTTATTTCACGATAAAGACCCTCTTGTACTATGACCGTGAGACAAAAACCCCCTTTAGTTAACTTTTCGTTGAAATCTACCATTATAATATTTTTTAGTCTCCATACTACCCTTGTCTTGAATCGATTTTTCAGTGGTAAAAATAAGATCCGAGTATCTGTTGTTGCAGTTAGGTGGGGCTGTTTTCAGATGAGTTTTGGCAAGAAAACAGACCCCAAACCAGGGAGATGCAGGAGAACGGATAAAAAGAAATGGAGATGCTCGAAAGAAGCATGCCCAGATTCAAAGTACTACGAGAGACATGCATAGGGGTAGAAACCGTTCAAGAAAATCTGTGGAAGTTATTACGGCGAACACCTCTACAATAATCTCATCAATACCCATAAACCCCTCTGCCATTACCAACAACTCCTGCAAATTCCTCTTCTTACTCCCTTCACTCTCTTCATCAGTTGCTGCTGAAACCAATCACCAACACCATTCTTATTACAACATCCCAAATCATGAATTCCTTTATCCCCATTCGTCCTCTTCTAGACTTCGTGGCGATTTACACTGCTAGCTCAATCCAAACAGAGGAGCTGCTCTGCTTTACAAGGTGACTACTCTCAGCCGCAGTTGCAAAGCCTGACATTTCAAAACAGCAAAAACAGTAGCAAGAGCAGCACTACTTTGTTTTGGGTGCCGACTTCAAATCCGAAAGGCCGCAGAAGATGGAGAGAGAAGAGGAACCCCAACAACCTCTTCGCCACTTCTTCGACGAGTGGCCACCAAAGAGCAGAGACTCGTGGCTCAATTTGGAGGACGACCGATCAAACCAGGCCTCATTCTCCACAACCCAGCTCTCGATCTCCACTCCTATGCCATCTCTCGACTTCGCAATCTCCAATTTCCGAACCCAGAATGGTAATTTGATTCCATCGAGAGAACAAATGAGGATGATATTGCAAATATTGTTCCTTTGTATGTATACTATACGGTGAATAGTTCATCTGAATTAGCTCATTTTTTCCTGATAAAGAAAGATTGGCTAAGCCTAGGAGTATAGGTAGAATGTCAGAATCAGTTTGTGTTGTTTTACTTCGAAGAATCTTTCGGTTATTTGAGAAACCTATGCATGAGTTCCATGGCATAGTGGTGAGGCCTTGGATTTATCATGGTCGAATAATAAGGTTAAGATGGCTCTTATAGAAGAAAGTGCATTTTCCTGTCTGTTGGTCAACTTTGTTACTATTAGCTGCTGCAATGAGTTGTGGCGGCTATGGCTGAGAGGAACGGAAAATAGAAGAAAGCGGGAAGAAAAAAGGGGAAGGGGAAGAAAACAAATTGGAGGAGAGAGAGAGAAAAATGTGAAGGAATCTGAGGTAGAAGGGATTACCGCTGCTATTGTTCTGTTCGTATGTCGTGAGGTCAGGAAAGATGATCAGTATTTATTTTCCAATTGTTTATTACAAGGATAATATGGAGATTAAAAAATACTACGAAAGAGGGTCTTTATCTCATGGTGATAGGGTCTTGTTGCAAAACAAAGTACAGGGGTCTTTGTAATTTACCCTTATATAAAAGCGGGGATAAGGGTCTTATTATGGACATATTATACTGAAAAAGAAGAGAAATTTAAAAACCTTCTCGCTGGATCATCACTGCTATGAATAATGCTATTATGTTGAAATTTGCCCGTTAATGGAGAGAGGGTGGCAACTGGCAAGAGTGAGGCTCTGTCTCTGTGATGGGGACCATGGGGTCTGGATTCATAATACAGAATCAGGATTCGTAATAGATGTTCTGTCTGTGATGACTAACTAAGACAGTTGGAAGTAAGAAAGAGATTACTGTTCGGTTTCTTCGGTAATCTCCTGCAACACTAAATACTGAAGAGCCGTGGAGAATTTTGCAGATCGCTTGTCAGAATGAAGGATCCCGATCCATCCCCTAAATCCAAAGACTCAATCTAATTACATTCTTTTATAAGTCAAAACGAAGAAAAAAGAAACTGGGCGGAATTGGCGAAGTCTGGGAAAAGATTGAAAAGTTGCTAATAAACATGGATGGATTAAGAAAAAATGGGTTGGAGGGTTTTAGGGATTTGGGTTAGGGTTAGGGTTATTAATACATCTTGTAAACTAACCTTCGACGGTAAAAATGGAGGGAATCCATCTCTTCTAGATGAACAATAACCTTGGAGTATCGCCATGGTGGGTATCAGATAACAAGAGCTTGCAAGGCTCTCCTGACGACATATAAAGAGCTAAGAATCAGAAGAAAACAACCAAACAGCACTCCATGCATCGAAAATGTAGACTATGGGAACAGAACAGTTACTTGGCATGGGTGATGGCATCCCGGCACAAGGCCAGAGTTCGAACCATGGCAAGGTCTCTTCCTCTTGGATTACTCAGTCTCTCTTTACAATTCCTGCAAATAGAAGTGTGGATTATTCATCATTTCCTCTCTCTTAGAGTTTAGAGGTTGGAGCAACAAAGGCAAAATCAAAACTGGGGTAGTTCTCAGTTCTGAGGAGCACAAACACAAACACATGACTGACTTGACTTACTTGTCATCGAAGAAATCTCCGAAATCATCGATTACAACGGCTGCTGGGTAGGTTCCGAGTTGGTGCAGGTGAAATCCAGCCAAGTACTTGTTGATCCCCTCGTAATCTTCTACATACCTGGCAACGAATAGAAACGCTTGGATAGGTGTAAATTGTTAATAAGGAAAAGGGAATTTCTTGATATCCCAGTGGACAATGCTCTCAGTCACACTCACTTCATCCGTATCCGTATTCAGTTAAACACATCCGACGAGGCATCGATGCCCTGCAAGCAGCATTCAAAAATGAATTACTGATTACATTACATACAGATACAGGTTAAAATGGAAAGAAAAACAGAGAGAGAAAGAGAGTAGTAATAAATGTAGAATACCTGGGTTAAGTAAGGGGGTTTGGACTCTAACTTGCGGCGGTTGCAGATGAAGACGACATGACGATGGGCAGAGCTAGTGTAAGCGGAATTAAAAGCGAACTGGAAGAGGAGAGATGTCTTCCCGCAGGAGGGAGGCCCTGAAGTGAAAGGAGCATCATTTGGCTGCTGCTGCATTTCTTTTCCTTCTCGATTTGTTGTTTCGTGGATAAGAAAAAGAACCTTCCTACCATTCTCCCAGCAATTTGGTTGCGAACGTTAAGCAGGGTTTGGGGTTTGCCGAATTCACAGGAACTAAAGAACAAATGAACTCCGAGTAAGTTACACTAATCTGATTCATTTCAAGTTTTCAACTGTACCAGTAGCACTAGGATTGCAATTTGCAAGTTGGGCGGGAGGGAAGTGGTCTTAGTTTTAGAAATTTGTAAATTTTGAATGGGCCTGCATCCGATGTTGTTGAAGGGCCCGTTTGGGAGTGGGAGGTATGAGGGTTGAGCTGCTGATAAGCTCTGGATCAGCTAAGCTGCTTCAGCGACTTTGAAGATTCTACTTTGGCTACCGGTTTTCGGGTCAGTAGTTAAATTATCCGGTCCAATGGATAGTACATTATACATAATTTTAAAAATAAAAAATGGCTAAAACTATTGTCCGGGTCAAATAGGTCAATGGATCAACCACCCACGTCAGCAGGTCACTCACCAAGCCAACTGTTTTTTGGCAAAAGAACAATTCAGGGGTGAAACAAAACCGGTTGCCTGAATACTTTTCAGGCCAAACGGTCCAACCTTTTGGGTCAGGAACGGTTGCCATTGTTCAACTAGCTGAAGATCGTTTACATAGCAGAAAAAGGAAGACAGATGTCCGGGTCTGGGTCTAGTAGGCACAGCATAGTAATTACACTCAATTGCGGTGAACAGAAGTGGCAATGTAATTGTAATGTATGTATTTTTCAGGCGAGGAATTGTTGGTGATTGAAAGAATCACTTGAACAAACCGCTAAGTGCTAAACCATGAACAGAAAATCAGTTGCTTTTCAGCTTTTCTGGGTTGGTTTTAATTTTAAAAACAATAGCAATTAACCCAACACCAGGCTTCAGCCATTAAGCAGCTCACAACCTTCCTCCTGGCCCCGGCCAAAAGACATACAGTTCAGCCACTTTAGCTCTCATTAGTCATTACTCATTAAAGGGCCCTCGGATCTGTAGTATGAAGCTAAAATTCATAAACATCGATTTGGGTTGAGACTTGAGATAAACAATGCATGCATTATTTCATTAATATACATTAGGATTTGAGTTGCTATACATGAACTTTGTATACAATTATTTTTGGTAATAAACTTTGTAGACATTAGGGAACCAGAAATTTGCCAAGAGAAGTTTTAGTAAGATTTGCAACAGAATACATGACAACTTTTCAAGGCACCTTAGTGAGAAAGATTCATGATGGTGACCACAATATTACTATATACAGATTGTATGAATGTAATGTGGTGTGTTGGAATTATGAGTTGTGTCATGGCTCTGAAGATGGCTTTGCTAGGTACTGGTGCCACTCCTCAGGGGTCCCCTTTTTCATCCTCAACATCTTTATAGCTGCTGTTGTCAGCGGTATGGTAAGTATGTCATACTCTTTTGGGGCCTGCAAAATTAACAACTACTCAATATTTGCCTCTTTTGAAGTTCCATCCAATGTTGTCAGACTCTGCCCCTTCACAAACTGGGTTATGGCTCAAATGCACATTCAATCGTAGCTTAATGGGCATGCTATTGCTTGTAAATAGAATGTCATAGGAGTTTTTTCACCAATTGGGGTTATTAAAATCAGGACGTTTTCAACAGTTTGTCCTTATCATTAGTGGGTCACTCAGATAAAATCTGGCATTCTAAAAAGTAAAAATCGGAAAGCTCACTGGTTCAGTTGGGGTTATAACGGTCTTGCTGTCTAGTCAGTTAGAGCCTGACAAATTCGGTTCTATCTATAGTAATTAAAGAAATAGCATAAATAGGGACAAGTATCAGAGACCTTTGGAACCTTGACAAGCTTCATATTTGCTTCTTCTAAAGTCTTCTGACCTTTTCTTGAATTGCATTTTGCACAAGCTGTAACCTGGAATCAGGAGAGTTTGCATTCTTATGGTATAAAGATTAAAGAGAGCATTCGGGAGGGCAATCATTCATATGCAAAGCTGAAAATATCAAGAATATGACATGCATGAGCATCTGGTAGCTTACGTGATGCATGTTTTAAGTGCAGGACTGTGCATTTTTGGCCATATATAACCACTTGATTTTGTATTCATCAGTTACTCCAAGTTGATAGCTGATACTAATAAGTGGTTAAATAATAAACTACAGACTAAGAAATCCTTACCAAAGGAGTTAAACTCTCCAGGAACTCTCTAATCTGAACTAAACATGTAAGTCCTTGACTATGTTTTTGATAAAATTTTAATTTTATTGAGTGCTCTCAACAATGCCTTGTTCCCATCTTTTAGAGTCATCCAATCGAGTACTTTACAAGCAACAAACATAATTAAAGCGCAAGGAATTGTACAGCCTCAGCTGTGACTTGTGAAGCACATGGCAAGTCACGTGACTAAATGAACTAAGGTGCCACTCAAAAATAAAAAAATAAAAAAGTAAAAAGTAAAAGAAAACCTTAATATATAACAATATACAAATCTAAATTCTGAAAGAAATAAAATCATGTTAATTCAATTGGCAATAAAACATCTCCCCACTATATCATTCTCATATAATGTTAAATAAATAACATCTTCTGGATGCTCTTACCAGATTTTCCCACTTCCACTCTCCACCTTTAGAAACTGGCAGAACATGATCAATTGTCAAGTTCTCACGTGAAGAACAATACCTGTTGACAAAAGAGACAAATACTTCCAATTATGTATATTACTACATGTAACTGAGAAAATCGGTTCACTCTTTCAGAGATAATAAATTTGAAAACTATAGGAGAGATCAGCTAGGCCAATATTTCAAAGCAAAAGCCTCATACTATATAGACATTCTTAATTTGGGCAATCCATAAAAAATAGAACCCCCAGATATTCTAGTTTCAAGAGAAATGGATTCAAATTCCTTTAAAATTCTCTTACCAGGGTAAAATCCTTTAAAATTTTGGTTATAGGAAACAAACCACGACAAATCCACCCACAATCTCAAAGACTGCTTAAATTTTTTGCAACACAACTAGGATTGGTAAAAGAAAAGATCGAAGTCATGTTTCAGTGGTTTGGAACCCATTTAGGGGATGCATCAGTTAAGTGTAACTAGAAGAAAATTTTACATATTTCATTGACTACTTACTGACAAGTGAACATATCCCGGAAAAATATATTTTTACGGCTAAGGTGTTGTTTAATTCTTCTTCTCTTGACAACCTGCAATAAATGTGGAACCTGGGAGTAGGAAAAATCATAATCAGTTAAGTGAACTAAACCTAATTTGGAGGAAATAATAAACATACAAATTTGTCAGGAAAAAATAAATGAAATAGTTAGAGATCATTAGTAAGTAGAATTCCAAGTAGACAAATAAAATAATTCAATATCTTTTAGCATACTCTAATTACATACCCTTAACACAGCTGGTATGTAGAAGGATCCACTGGGAGAATTTACTGTCTGATCATAATATTCTAAGACATCAGCCTGAATGAGGAAAAAAAAAGTCAAGATCTCGCTTTACCAAAAAAAATGTCAAGGTCTAAAAATTCACAATATAGAAATAGATGGATTTATCTTCCAACAAGGAAATGACCAAAATAGATATACATTCATTGAATAACTATTGTCTCATAAATATCATAATCACAAGGTTTTAGAAGGCTGTTCTTGAAATCTGGCCTAGAAGTACCTTACGTTTCCCATTCATTGAATAACTAAATTGTCTCATAAATCTTGTTACAAGAAAACAAGTCAAAAAATACGTAAGTTACTGCAGAAACTACTGGATCTAAGGAATCTTATCACGAAGTCCATGAATAAACAAATAACAAGTAGTCTAACCTTCTCCATAAACTCCAAACAAATAGCACGCCTCCAGCAAACAACATTGATAGGCCTAGTACAGAATGATCAAAATCAGAAAAAAGCATGCAACTTCATTACTCATTCTTAATTAAGCTAGGAATAATTTTCCACAGTGACAAAAATGAAAAATCAACTAATTTGTTTGGATTATCATGGATATTTATATCCCAGTAAAGACAACCTCAGGAAAATAAGTTTTCTGTTTAGGAAACAAGTCCAACCTAGAAAAAAAGGGTATTTTTCCTTGTTTTTTATTCGCAACATAGGAAGATTTATCAAAAGAAGGAGAAAAAGGTGAAAGAACAATATAGAAAGGAAAAGTGGAAAGCAACAAACAGAATTTCAACAAAAAAATCCATATTCTGCAAATCTTTATTACAATATGAACTATAAAGTAACTATATTTGTGTTGGCATCCTGTTAAGCAAGAAATCTTAAAAACATTGAACCTAGACCATCAGAAAACTTTTAAGAATGATTGGGAAACCACCGGAGATGATCAAAGCCACTTCAAACTTTCAAGGATCCAATTTGAAGCATGAATGAAAGCCAGTCCCCAAAAGATACACAGTGGAACAATGCAAGCATTGTCCATTCACATCTAAGGATAGTTACATAGTTATCTAATTTGATTCAGTTCTCAAGCAACCAAAGCATAAAAGTGCATATATTCATTGAAAATGTTGTTTTAATAAAATATTAGGAATAACTCTAACACAAGAACTACATCAGCAAAAATAAATAAATAAATAAAAAAGATCTAAAACAGCACAAAATGCATCAAACAATCGACTATCAATTGAACATATGAAAAATCTCTATTTTATGGATATCAAGCTCTGCTAACCCTACTATCAATCTTGTATTGTGTAAAAGACCAGGCCACACTGTATAATCCCCATTTTCCATTCTCTTCACCATTCAAGTTCTCCAAATTTTCAAAACCCAAACCAGTGGATACCTCATATCAGGCACCTTCTGACATTTCTGAACCTTCCCTGCCAGCAACTCTTGAGCTGTGACCATAGTAATTTATATGTATATTCATGTTTTTTTTTTAAAGAAAGCATCCTGAATCACAATTTTTTTTTTCAAATATATGCATAATATGTGTATTCTAATAATGCATACTTTTAATATATTATACACATATTTACATATATAAGATATGCCAAATTTTTTACTTCAAACTGTTAAAATGAAAATGTAGTAAACATGAACATGTATATGACCGATCTTTTACTGTATTATGTTTATTTGACCAAATTTTTTGCTGTATTTTTTGTTCTTGGTCCCAAATTGTACACAAGTTTATCCCATATTACTTATACGAGACAATAATTACTAACTATAGCTGTGACATCTTTGGTCTTTTCATCAGTTTACTAATTTGGCACTTATACCTTCCCTTTGAATTATCAATGATGAGGAATGACAATATAGAAATGCAAGGCCAATATAAGTGAATGCAGTTGCTTGTAATAATTCTCCATGGAATCGGGGTAAAAAGGAGAAGTTACTGCATAAAATAAAAGAGTTAAGAAATTTAACAAAGAGGTTTAGAGACAAAATGAAAGTGGAATTTAATAGATAAGAACATCAAGGTACATGGTGAGTTTCTCTAAACAAGTTTTGAATTTGCATTTAAGTTTTAACAAATTATAAAGTTTCTCGATAATGAATATGATTGTTGTTTTGACAATCAGGATTTATTTAAAAAGAATTTAAACTGTAGATCCCTTGAAATTACGAATCATAAAAAACAAGATATAAATCTTATGGTATATGAAAAACTAAACTAATTATATATCTGAATAATCATAATGACAATTAATGAAGTATCTTAATGAGGACTTTTATAACAAAATCTGGAGTTCATTAGGAAGTTCAACCTCCATGATCCAAAGGAAGCAGGCTTTCGCACTGGTAACTTGGAAACAATTCTCAATTTTCCCTTCACCTAATAATTTATGTAACTATGCTCCTAAATCATATTGATCAAATATAACTTGAAAAGAATCTCCAACCTGTTAGAGAAACAAATGTGGGACCAAAGGTGAGCGGGAAGGCTGGTCATAGGGCAAAGAGCTAAAAATATTGTGTTCTTGGCAAGCGGATTAGCAGTGAAAACTTAATCTCTTGGGCTGTGTTTGGTTTGAAAGAAAAGGTGATGATGGGGCCGTAAATCAAGCACAGGTTGAACTTCCATGTGGACTGCTGGCGTGCAGACAATTGTCCGAATCGAAGACCGTGGCGTGTCCCGAACTTGGACAATCTAAAGAACACATGACATGCCTTTGCCCTGAAGGCTAACATTGGTGCATGCCACAGCCCTTAGACGAAGTGGGGACACGTGGTGAATGCCAGAAGAAGCCCGCGACTTTACCAAGATTGATACCAACATCTCCAAGCTCCTCATCCCTTCTCTTGCGTAGAACGTACAACATACGCTCTTAAAACCTCAGTTGAAGACAACCTCGGGACCTGACACATGTCCCACAAACGAGGTGAAATTCTCTACACACTTTTGCACTCTATGCTCTCTAGCTCCCCTGCCTTTTAAGCTCCTAAGATCGCTCGGCTACGACCAGCTTGTCTCAACTAGCTTGGCCTAGACAACCTCTTTATTCTATTCATTAACTTGAGCGTTGGAGTGCTTCTCCTCAAGGAACCACCCCAAGGCCTCTGACCTTCTATGTACACAAGTAGTCAAATCCAGAACAGCTTGTCCATCTCATCAGAACATTTTCTGCTGCTCAGACATCTCATCAGGACATTATCTATATGTGCAAGGTTTGTATAGGTTTCCCTACCTTTTATTTCATACCAAAGACAGACGTAGTGCAAGCAATGTAAAGAGCATTCCAACACCCCCCTCCAATCCAACAATCCATCCCTAGGAAAATAATGGGCAGGAAAAGAAGCATTGTTAAACAAGTATACCTCTTTTTAACTTGATCCATCTAATTTTCCTCTACCTCCAAATCTAAACTAGCTCCATGAGCTCATCAAATTCCTCCTCACTCATACTCTTAAACAAGTATACCTCTTTTTAACTTGATCCATCTTTCCATTGGCCATAACTCCCATATAGGATTCTAAACCAACCTTCAAGGATATTCTCCTACCAATATTTGCCACAATAGAAACCAGACTTTATCCCATGACGGCATCTCCCCCTCCCAAAAGGATCCTCCATAAAGAAAACATTTAAGTCTAATCTAAAAGGAAAATGATCGGACCACAGTACTGCTCTAAAGGTCAGCACAAGATAAACAGAACGAGTAGGAACCGAAGCTTTAGCCTGGTGGCTGGCTTACAATGGACAGGTGATCGTTTAATTGGCTCACGCTGATCCACAAATTATGCTCTTAAAAGATGAACGACGAACCTTTCAGAGCTGGTATCAACTGAACGGAGTAACCCAGCTGATCGCTAAATAATAAGTAACAAATACAATAATACAAACATTAAAAAAACAACTTCAATAACTAAATAAGAACAGAATCACAAACAAATCAAATAGCTTACAAAAAGCTAGCACCTCTCAAAAAAAAAAGAGAAATGGAAGTAAGGAATACTAACCTGTAAGAGATGTCCAAAACCAAACCTCTGAAACAAGACAATTCATCATTCTCAAACTGATCATCTTCATCAAAACCCAGGTCAACTTCGCCACCATCATCAGCGACCAAGCGTTCCTCTGTACTGAAGCCGCTGGGTTTCTTTCCCAGTGAACTGAAAACTCGGCTAGACCGATAGGATCTGGTATTGTTGTTGTGGGGTTGAATAGGACGGGCATCCACGAATCTGATCCTGCCAGCCCCTTTATAATGAAATGGGTCATTGGAATCGAACCGAAAAGAGACTCCCTTACCATTGAAGAACAGCTTTAGACCTCCCTGAGCAGTGAACTGCGCCATGAATGCGAGACTGCAGGTCCTCTTGCTGGTGGACGAATAAAGCTGTGGTAGTGAGGAGTTGGTGTGGGGAGAGAAAGAAAAGTAGAGGAGAGGCTGGGATGTTGTTTTACTTTCTTGTAACTGTCATTATGATTTATGAAGTCCATTACCATTTGCATTTGTGACGGTTGAAGGAGAAGGAGAGAAGCAAAATTTTCTATTTCCTTCACGGCAGGGATGGCAGCCACACGTTCTGACTTCTGAGCTTCTAATTTTTATGCCACTCGAATATCAAATATCTTTTCAATTTTTTCCTTCCCTGGGTCTGGGTTTGGATGGGAAGGAAAATTTGAAAACATTTTTCGTTTCTCAGGGTACAAAGTTCGAATCCAAGATCAAACTTGGACGCAATTCTTTATGTTTTGAGTCCAGTTCGGAATATACTTTTGGTATCATAGTTGAACCCCCACACCGGATTATCTAGTGGGAGTGATCTTACTTTGTCGGATTAGAATATATTTTTGTTGGATTTTAAGAGTCAGATAATAGGATCCGGTTGTAGAATCGGATCGAATTCAAATATTCAATCCAATTTGACATGTTGTTTATTTATTTATATATAAATATATTTATATTACATTTTTATATTATTTTATGTTATTCATTTTTTATAAAAAACAAATGCGCATATATAATGAAAATAGTTGAAGAAAATACTTGTATTTTCTATTTATATAAACTGTTATATTTTTTTATCTAATTTTCAAAAGTTAAAATCTGATTGAATCATATTCAGATATCTAACATTATTAACAAATTCAAATTTGTGAGATTCACTCGTATCTTTGTTTTGTTTGTACTATCGGATAAGATTATCCGATCCATTTACGACTCTAATTAATTTGTTATGATCATTTGATTCTATATTTCTATTTTCTATTGCTTCCTAATCCTTGGGGTAAACCTTGTAATATGTAGAGGGTAAATTCTGCTCCCTAATCCTTGGGTAGACGGTAGACCTTGATGTAGTAGAGGGTAAATTCTAAACTTCAAAATATGTCATTAGTATCCGAATTCCCAAAAGTTGTCAATTTAGTACCACGGACCCATATAATGTTATATGCAAGGTTCAAAGTATCGATATTGTATCTTTTGAAAACAATACAGTCCGAAACACCTGGTCCCTCAATTTTTTTAATAATAAAAAACAGGTTATAAGCTTTCCAAAAAATCAAACTTAAAAAAAAAAAAGAGTTCTGGCCGTTTTTAAGTGTCAATACGATACGGCCGAAACTCGTATCGTATCGATACTTTGAACCTTAGTTATATGTGACTTGCAACATTTTAAAATTCCAAAATTATCCTTTTAAAGAAGACACTATTCATGGTCTTCTTCATTGAGACTAAGCAAAGTAAAGTTAAATTTGGATTGTGTCATGTGTGTGTTAAGCAACCAACATTATGTTTCAAGGGCATTTTACAATGGATTCTTGAAATTTCAACTAGGCAAATTTACTTGAGTAAGTTCTCTCGTCTTTAGTGTTAAGCAACCAACGTTATTGTTTTGAGAGTGTTTCTCACGTTCTTTGGCATATAGGTTTTGATCTGTGAGAGCCTGGGAGGAACTGCTGTTTGGTTTTATTTTGAATATTAGAAGAATAATGAATGGCAAAATTGACTATAAAAGAGTAATTTTGGAATTAAAAAAAAAAATTATATCACTCACATAACATCACATGGGAACGAATTGTAATGGCATGCTAACAATAGAGGAAGATTTTGTCCATTGTCAAAAATGTTAGGGGTACTTGAAATAATTTCTTAAACAGTAGGGTAGGTTTGTATCCACTTCATAAGGATAGTTTAAGTATTTAACCCAATAAAAAATAGGGAAAATTCCTGATCAGTATCCTGTACTTTGGCTCGAGTGACAATTTAGTCCTTGAACTTTAAAATGCAACAATCTAATGCCCGAACTTTTCAAATGCGACAATCTAATACCTGCTATTAACCAACCATTAAGTAGCATATGAAAAGACATGAATGCCCTTCATGTCATCTAATTTTATTTATCAACCGTTTGCTAAAATCATAACTCCGACGTATGAGTAACACCACGACAACCACTCCGCCAACTGGTGAACCAACTGGCACATGCTTGTTGAAACCTTTGGCTTCGTGTCATGGGCATTCACCACCCTCAACACCTTCACCCCAACCTCTCCACCTGCACCTTGAAGCTCACATTCCCAACTCTCTATCCCGAGAATGAGAAAACCACCACCAGAAACCGTTTGGCCGACCTCCATCACGTTTACGCTTGTCTCTTCTATGTCACAAGCACTCGACAGTCAACATCGCTAGCGTGCTACCCAGGTTGTGGCCAGTCATGTTTATGCTCAGCACTTCATCTCGGTATTGATGCATCGACTGCTTTGACTTTGCTCAAGATCTGCTCCTGAGCCGAGTACTAGCAAAACCGACACAGAATTGTTATTGTATCATATATCGAGATACCGCTTGGTAGAATTGTCTGGACTGAAGAAGCCTAAGGCCAAGGCATCTTCTGCCAATACTAAAATCTGATTCTCGCTTATCATATCCCCTGATTTAATCTGATGCAAGCTAGCAAAATCGACGACGAAAAGGAAATAATGATAGAACAAAGCACCCCATGAACAGTTCTTTTGATATTGAGATCTTATTTGTTCTATAGTTCTCTATTTTTTATTTTTCCATTTGGCCTGCCAAAATAGGGGTAATCTACAATTGTTATTGATTGAGGGAGCAAGGTCTGAGTTTGAGAATAGAGAAGAGAACATGAGGGCCTTAGAATTTTTGTCCTAATGAAGAAGAAGACAACCTCGTGTTTTGGGTTTGCCTTGTAGATCCAAAGCCACAATCACAAGAAGACTTTATCTTCCCATTAATGGTTGGAGTTTTCTAAACAACAAATACAAGTTAATTCAAACAACAAATGTAGAATAGCACAAAAAACCAAATACTCAACTCAATAGATACAAATCTCGTAGGAGAAAGATATCAGCTTGGGTTTCCGATCTCTTCCTTTGCCTTCAATCTCGCCAATTTGTTCGTATTTAGGCCCGTGATAACAATGTGAATTCAATTCATCAAACAAGGGCATTTTCATCATCTGGACTATTAAGAGTTAGGGCTCTCTTTCATCTTTTTGATATTTTCAAAAGTTTTAAATTACAAATTAAGTCATGGTTTAATGTTTGAATATTGATTTGTCACATTTTAAAGTTTAAATACCAAATTATCACTCAACCAAAATACAAGGTACTTACTCATCACGAATTTTTCCTAAGAACAAAGTACAAAAATAAAACTGCACTAACAGGAAATAATTTACGCTTTTCTGATTCATTCTTTTCGTGATTCTGTTCTACGCAAATAAAATTGCATTCCAGACAAACTGAGCCTATACCATAAATGGTGAAGCAATCTCTATCTCAGTCTCAGTCTAATGTATTAATAATCCGTGCAAACACCTCAATCTCATCCACTCCGATCCAATCAGATACACATCTATCCACAATCCACATGATAATTAACATGTTTTTTTTTTTCAGAAAAATCGTTTTGACTATTGTATTTTTTATTTAAGAGTAGACTCGTATGATTTTGAATGAGATATAGTTTAGAGTTAGGCACAAGGTTTGAATTTTAATTTTTGTCTATTTATTTAGATTTATTGGTGATAAAGAAAACACAAAGCCATATTATAACTGTAATTCCAGACGGGGGTCTCGTATCTGTTATCTGTTGTCGTTACCTCTTCTTTGGAAAGTGGAATCCTCAAATAAGGATCGCCTTCTCCTTACTTAACAGAGTTTCTCTATTTTTTCATGGCGACCTGTTTGAAGAGATTACGAAGATTTGCTTCGATTGGTAGGAAGGGCCAGGAATACTCAACCACCTGTGATGAACCACCCAAGCTCCAAAAAAGCGGGAAAACTGTCAATCTCTTTACTGCAATCAACCAAGCGCTTCGCATCGCGCTAGAAACCGATCCTCGGTACGCTAATCACTAACCCATGTTCCCAAAATAACCCACATCGTGTTTTCTTCACTACCCAAGTTTCCCTAGTTTTAATGGCTTTCTGTGCACTGTGCTCTTGCTGTTTTAGAATTTTGATGAGTTATAAATGTTATCTTCTGTAATTCTCAAACACCACGTAACCTCCAAAAATAGGTCATGGAGATGGACTGCTGGGCTTTAACAGGTTTCATTGATGATTTCTGTTTTCTTGACTCCCTACCCCCGCCCGCCCCTTTTCCCGTTAACTACCTGCTTATACTCTGTAGTTCAGACAAGACAGGCTAAAGCCATGTTTCTAAGACGAAGCCAATTTCTACTCTCTTCGGTTGATGCATGAGATTTTATACTTCAGTTCTTCTTCTTTTGATTGCTTTCTGGCTGACTTATTATATTGTCTTGAACACTATGAATTGTCTAGAACAATATGAACTTCAAAGAAAGATCAGTTTGATCTTATCATCCAAGGAAGACCGGATGTAACAGTATGTAATTCACCCTCGTAGTTCATTGATGGGAATTTCCGAGAAGGGAATCGAATTTGGGCTATATTGAGCAGGCCAAACACCTGCAAAGTGAAAACGGTACACAGTGGTTGTTTGAGGAGATCAACAAACAACCTAGTCGTATGATTGTATCTCCTTTGCTTGACTATTTCCAAAATAGTGCAACAAATCCAGCTCATTATATTAACCTAGTGGATCAAGTTGAACTGTGGAGGAACTTGTAAACAGAAACCATGAATTGCATGCCACATGTAACTTGTAAACAGTAACTGTAACATATAACTCGGTAGAGATTGGTGTGAAATATGAGGTGTACATATTATGTCATTTATCAAGAACAAGATAGATCCTTTAGTTCTTCCTTTTTCATTAACTGTATGAAGAAATTATTTTCTCATTTTTAAGTATGATAAGTATAATAGTATATAAGTTATTATTTGTTTTCTTCTTGAATTCATTCATTGAAATAGCCAAGATAAATTAGTCATCAGCAATACTTTGCTATCCAAATACTCTTTAACGGAAGCTTTCTGAAAATTTAAAACCATTCTTCCTCCTTAAATGATTACTTTTTTTTATTCATAGTGCTTATGTATTTGGAGAGGACGTTAGCTTTGGTGGGGTCTTTCGTTGCACGACAGGACTGGTTGAGCAATTTGGTAGAAATAGGGTCTTTAACACTCCCCTTTGTGAACAGGTAACTTGTTTTGCATTGTTTACCTTTGTTTGGTGAACTTAAAAAAAAAAAAAAAAACATTTTACCTGATCCTCTTGGCTCTATATATTTATAGATTGCTGTGGTTCTAGCACATGCACTTACTAATTCCAAGTTTATAATATATACCCATGCTTTCCTTATGCTGTTTTTATATTTTAGTAATTTGCTTTTCAAGTTAACTTCTCGTTGCATGCAGGGCATTGTTGGATTTGGTATTGGACTTGCAGCAATGGTAAATTTTTTTAATATGCTTAATTTGCTCCTTTTTTATTTTTCAATTAATTTAGATTTGGTTCTTACCCTGCTGGTTCCAATCTTTGCGGTTTGGTTTAATGTGCTAGGGGAATCGAGCTATTGCTGAGATACAGTTTGCTGATTATATTTATCCTGCTTTTGATCAGGCATGTTACCTCATCTATATTTTTTTTAATTACCAAACATTGATATCTTGTTGACACACAGTTCCCCCTGTAGCTTGTCAATGAAGCAGCCAAATTTAGATACCGGAGTGGGAACCAATTCAATTGTGGAGGTACAAAATTTTCGAGGTTACAGTAACACTTTTTTCTCTTTTGAAATCCAACCTTTAGATTGCATGTGATGTTCACAGGTTTAACGATAAGATCTCCTTATGGAGCTGTGGGCCATGGCGGGCATTATCACTCACAATCTCCAGAGGCTTTCTTCTGTCATGTTCCTGGTCTTAAAGTGAGTTTTCTTTCTGTTAAACAACTAGTTCCCTTATTCTTCTTTTACCAGCAGCAAACATGGTCAGGCTGAAATAATTTTCCATAAAAAGATGTGGCCTTGTCATATTGGTGATTCAAATGGATCTATGAGCTCTCATAATTGTTATGTGAATATATTTCAACTCTTCTTCTCTTGATCTGTGCACTGACAGTGTAAAATCAATTTATGGTTCTGAAGCTCTTAAAATGTTTCTTGTAATAGGTGGTAATCCCTCGAAGCCCAAATCAAGCAAAGGGGTTGTTGTTGGCAAGCATACGGGATCCAAATCCTGTTATCTTTTTTGAGCCTAAGGTATTGGGCACCCTTATCATAAAATAGTATTGATCAATGATACGATAGTTCCAGGATCAGAAGTTCCTTTTTGTATCCCCAAAATTTGAACTTTTTGTTAACCACACGCTAAAATTGTCTTAGTCAATATCAATTTTTGAAGGGAAAGATGCTCACAAGAAATCTATGATCCATCTTGTCCATTGACTGAGAAGGATTATACTGTGCTTGGTTCTAAGTGCTGACGAATAAAACACATAAAAGAAAAGAGGAAATGCAACAGAGAGAAATCTGGGAAATAGAAATTCAAGTAGGTGTCAGGAAGTTGCATTACCATATAGAAAGCCCTGAATTTAAGCATTTAGTTTACCATTCAGCCATAACAATTTCATTTTTTCTTTCTCCCTTTTTGATTGTTTACAAACATGAAAAAGAGCTTTGTTAATAGCAGATAACAAACAGAAATGATAAGTACATACATCAGTATCTCCAATAGGGAAATAAACAACATCCCTTTCCAGCCCAGCCAAACCACTAAAAACCCAGGGAAACCCTACTTTGGTAGGATTAAACCTTGTTACTATCACTCATAACTAGAGGATCAGCTTGCTTATTAGCCGATCTCCACATCCAACAGAATGAGATGTTTCATCCGTCTGCCAACACTAAAGTGCCATGGTTCAATCCCTCCAGCTCTCATCCAACCTACCATGACCTGTAATCCCCCTTCCATCCTGTTTTTCTATTCCATTCTGTTTAAAGCCATATCCATTGCTAAATTATTGGCACTTAAATCATTTTTTACTATTTCTACCCATGTATTTTTTGGTCTACCCCTAGCCCTTCTAGCCCCTTCAACCTGCAACAAATCACTTATTCTTACGAGTGCTATTGATGGTATTCTGTGCATGTGACCAAACCATGTGAGTCTACTTTCTCTCATTTTATCACCTATTAGATCTACTCCTAAGTTCCCACAGATGACTTCATTTTTAATCCTATCCTTTCTAGTTTTTCCACACATCCCTTGTAGCATACGCTTTAGCTCTTGGATGGTTTATCATAATCAACCGATCTAGATGAAGGAACAATCTGTGTGCTGAAGAGGAATCTATAAAAGTCCAATCCTACTGTGTCATCTACAGAAAAGTATCTAATCTTATCTCTTCTAGGAACCCAGTGAGCCACCATATAGCTCTGTGGTTTGTGAGCGTTTCAGAGAACTGTTCCACACCAGTAAATACTCCGCATTTCTTTCTTTTCATGTTGTCTGTAGCACTTGTGCTCTCAAATATCTCCATGTGATAATCCTCCTGATAGTCAGGGTGGGAGACAGAATAGCACTGCAAGAGGTCTAGATCAGGTATGGGGCAAATGCATTCCCAACCATAAAATTTGGTCCTCCAGAGTCCAGCCCAATGCCTGGTATCGTGTAGATAATAGTGCACACATAATATATACACAGGGATATAACACATATGGTATATTGGCCAGGCTTTGGGTTCGGTTGAGCCAGGCTAGAGTGCTCAAGCCAAGATGAACCTGAGTTGGTTTCTGACTTTCCAAGGCTCAAAATTCCAAGCCCATGCAAAAGCTTCATTGGGCTTTGGTGTGTGCCCCTAGTCCCTAACACAAACTCCTCCCACAAACCGAATCCTGTCTTCTGATATCCACCTTCAGCAAATAATGAAAATAATTATTTCAAAATCATAGAAACTTTTTTTTTTTTTTGTGGTGGAAAAAATCATAGAAACAAACATACAAAAGATTAAAAGGCAGTGGATGAAGTCACTGCAGTCCTGCACTAAAGCATATTTGATGTCGTAAATGTTAATTTGTCAATATCACAATTGTGGTGCTTTGGCTGTGCCTTAGATGTCCTTTCATTATCTGGGACTGGTGAAGTATCCCAAAGTGTATTGTCAAATTTTGAAATGTTAGATAACATCTTAATCTTAATTCGTGTACCTTATCTTCATTGACGATTTCTGCAATTTACAGTTTCATTGACTAATACACTAATCATTTTCAGTGGCTCTACCGCCTGGCAGTAGAAGAGGTTCCCGAGCATGATTACATGTTACCTCTTTCCCAAGCAGAGGTATGCAATTCTCTTGTATCATTGCAATTGTATTATCAAGTAATATAGTGATAGGATGGATCTTTCATTAACATTATGTCATATTATTAGAGGCAATATCTTTGGTACCAAGAATGAATATCTCAAAAAGATGTTAACAAAGATCAGTCAATGTCTAGCAGATTAACTCACTATAAAAGGGTTAGGGAGGGATGCATTTATTTGTGGTTTAATTTTTGTTTCTACATTATTCCTTTGATAAAATCATTTGACCTTGCTACCAATCAAAAAGAGAAAAGCCATTTTTATAAGTAATCTAGATCATGAGAAACTGCACTTGTATCTACCAGGTGATTTGCCATGGAAATGACATAACACTTGTTGGTTGGGGTGCTCAGCTTTCAATCATGGAACAGGCCTGCATTGATGCAGAGAAGGTAGATGGTTTCTGACTGTGGTAACTGTAATATCAAATGTGCTTGCAGTGATTCCATTCTACATATTGTTGTCCCTAAGACACTGAATTTAATTTTCCATGTGATATTCTCAGGATGGAATTTCTTGTGAACTGATAGACCTAAAAACTTTAATACCTTGGGACAAAGAAACAGTAGAAGCCTCAGTCAGAAAGACAGGAAGACTTCTTGTGAGTACAGTCTCCTGCAAAATATATCTTGATTAAGTATGCACAATAATTGCTAAGCAGTTGACACATTCCTATTGATAGGTTAGTCATGAGGCCCCTGTGACTGGAGGGTTTGGTGCTGAAATTTCTGCATCTATTGCTGAACGCTGCTTCTTAAGGGTAATCAGTGGCATCTGAAACATTTAATTTTATCATTTCTTTTCTTCTAGACTCTGGAGTTCTCTTCAAAGGTTCAAAAAGATTAAATGAATTATATGTTATATGTCTTTTGGACCCATCTATGGTTCCAATGCTGGTTGAAAATGTTGATCGGTTTGTTGACATGCCCTACTGGTTAGACATACACTCTACAAATGTTGCATTTTAGGTCTATGATCAGACTAGCATATGTGTTCATCTTTGCTTTGTGCATCTTCAAAAGAATCAACAAAAGACACAAAAACCTGCAAAATGTCTAAAATCAATTGAGAACATGCCAAAAGTAGACTTGGTAGGAAACTATGGGTTTTGATAAAATCTCACACATCAGAAAATTCAAAGTAGAAACCCTACTACAATCAGGGTTCTAGACTAAAGAAAGTGTTGAAAAAGCTAGATGCCAAGTGTTTGACTCAAAGTAGAAACACTTGGCATGTAGTAGTAGAAACCCTACTACATGCCAAGTGTTTGACTCATGAATATGGACTCACAGACATGAGAAAGTGTTGAAAAGGCTAGTAGCGCTAAGAGCAGACCAAAAAGGACATGGGTCAAAGATGTTGCTTTTGTTACTATAGATGGGTCAAAGAAGTGCTCATTATTTAACTATAGATATGGCACAGAACAAATCACCAAAACAGGATTTATGTAGCCGACTATAGTTGGGATAAGGCTTAGATGATGATGAGACATGTCTGCAAAAAAGTATAAACCATTAACATAGTTCTTATTTGTTTGAATTCTAATATTTTATACCTACAAAAAGATGTTGCTTTTGTTACTAATAATTTGTATGGAAAATGGCATTTGTCTTCCACATTAGCTGTTCTATTATGTCAAATAAGCAGCAGTAGAGTCCCCTCAAGAGTCTGTAGAGGGTTGAATTCACAATGCTCTTCTGACAGATACGTTGTCCATATAGGAGAGTCCATGCAACATTTGCTTAAAATGCACCGGGATAAACAGAGGTAGAAACTTAAGAATCACAAGATGTTGGGTAGCATAACATGAGTTTCTGGAGATCCATACGCTGTCCAGAAGCTATTTCTTTGATTCTTCTTTGCAGATTGCAGTATATCTCCATTACAGTATAAAATGTTTTTTTTTTTTCTTCTCCTGGGGTGCAGCTAGAAGCTCCGGTCGCTAGAGTTTGTGGTCTTGACACTCCATTCCCGCTGGTTTTCGAACCCTTCTTTATGCCCACCAAAAACAAGGTTTGTTGATTTTAATCTTTTACATATACTTTATCTTTACTTTGAGGTGTTGTAATAACATTGCAATCTTTTACTGCAGATCTTGGACGCAATCAAAGCAACTGTGAATTATTAGAGGATAAGTTGTATTGTCGTCCCATTTAACTGCCATCTTCTTCATGCGAAGACATCTTCCAATGGAGAACATCCCTTTTCACCCCCATGAAAAAAGAAAGGATAAAAAGCCTTAATTATTGTATTTGAATTGTTATTCCACTTGTCTTTTTATGAAATATTTACTTTACATCATAGATCATGCCCACATTGTGTGAACAGATTGAGACAGATGGTGTTTGATTTCATTAGAAAACGGTGATGCAATGGTATAAAAATGATAATGTTCTTTGTTTAGTTCCATAGCTACCACGAATCCGGATCTGCTCCTTACACCAACCTCAGAGCATATACCAGTTGCACATCGGGAATATCTCCCATATTTGTATGTTATTATTCATGGGAGATGTTCTCAATACACAGTAGGATGTGGCTGTGGGGAGCATATCCCAATTCAGCTGCCACTTAAAAAGAATTTTCATAGGAAAAGTAGACTGCAGCTCACTGCAGAATTCTGAATTCCGCTGCCCACCTATAATAATTCATAATGTCAAATACCCCCACCCTATTCACCTGTGAATTGACATCAATTCCAAGCTAGCACGTACTCCAATTGTACGTTGGCCTAAGAATTCTGATGCTGGGCTTAACTGTCATTCTTCCAATTTTCATTGCCATGTCAGATAACTGTTGCTTGGAATGGTATAAAAAAAGAAAAGCATAGGAAAGAACCCTTTTTAATGTTTTCACGGACACACCTTCCCATGGTCGTTTTTTCAGCATTTTCCAAGGTAACGCCAACCAAACAAAGAGCATCATCACTCCAAAACTCAAAACCAATGTTTTAAAAAACAATCCAAAACAGGAACCGTTTTGGCCACTAGTTTCTGGGTTGATGGTTCAACCGTCCAATTTGAATGGATTTTGACAAAAAAATGAAAAATAATTAAAATTAAAAATGATCAAAAAACAATGTATGGGTCAAATGAGTAAACAGTTCAACCGCCCAGGTCAATGGGTCATTGATCGATTCAACAATTTTTGGCCAGGGACTAGGTTTAGGGTAAAATGGAATTGGTTGCCTGGACAATTCCCAGGCCGAATGGATCTAGGTCAACAGTGGTTCGAAAACCATTTTCAAAACGTCAATATGGTGCTGATATGTAACCACTTTTTAGGAAAATGGCATGTGTCTCAAACATCACCATGAAGTCCAACTTATAGAATATAGGCTCGGCATCCATGAAGGGATATGTTTCATCCAAGTTTCCAAATGCTTGTTCATGTACCTTGCCCAAGATTTGATTGTTAAGGTATAGCTTGGTAAAAAAAAATCAAGGTTTTTAAAATCGAACCAGACAGCGAACCGCTCAGGGGTCTAGTTTCCAGGTTGAACAATTCGATCATTTGAACTAAACAGACAGCCCGTTCTAACAAAAACATTTAAAAAAAAAACAAATAAAAACCGTTGGACAATTCAAACGATTCGATCGCCCGAGTCAGCGGTTTGGTGACCAAATCAACAGTATTTGGCCAAAATGACAGTTCTAGGGTAAAACGAAACCAGTCAGGTGACTGGTTCCTGGTTTTTCCGGTCTGACCATGAAAAAAATTATGAGAGGATTGCTGAGTCAAGCTGCAGGATGATTATTCAATTACCACTTTCTATTTTAACTTCGTTAATTAACTTAATACCATTAGATAAACGTTCTTTCTTCCCATTCTCTCGTGTGATCCATTTTTATCGATTTCTAGAAGAATAACAAGGACATTCAACCAAGTAGGTGCAAACCAATCTGAACCGCAAGGTCGAAATTTATATTGGTTATAGGGTTTTTTACATAAAAAATGAAGTTTGGTCATTTAACAAAATCAGATACATTTAAAAAAGGGTTAAAAAAAACAGTCAAAACAACGAGCGGGAGATGTTTTGCTTTTTTCTGAACTAAAATACCCCCAACTAAATTATTAGCCCGCAGACCTATATTCTTTCATATTATTCCTCCTCTCATTGTCCCTCAATTTCCCCTATCGAGCCAGAATCTTAGGCTTTTAGCAGTTAACCCCAATTTCATGGTTAATCTCAACGTTAATGGTTCGGACGTAAATAAAAAAAATTAATTTCATTTAGATTGGATTCATTTGAGTTACTGAAATGATCATTAGCACCGAAGCCTTGATTGCCAATTACCACAAACAGGCCTATTTCACTAGATCTCTGTTGAAAATTGGAGATTAATCAATATAATCTCCATGTACACTTTCTCAATTCCATTTTCACAGAAATGTAGAGTTTAAGATTTTGCAAGTTGTAAACATGCATTTACACTAACAGAAATAAAACACCTTTTAAGGATGTGCTGTTAGAGCAAATAAGATTACGTTATGATCTCAAAATTACAGCTTGCCTTTAGCGCTTGATTAGTATTGAGAAATGAAAATCCCAATTTATCAAAAGAAAAGAAAAAGCTCTTTTTTTTTAACTATATGTTAAGGGGAGTCCTTATTATGTTTCTTTGAAACCTTGTACATTTTCTCGAAGTTGCAGGGTCTTAATTTGGAATTGAATCAAGACGTTCAGAATTCGATTCCAGAGCCGTAGAAAAGGGGGTTTTAAATTTGGAGCCTGGAGGATCTTCTCTCCGTGGACTGGAGTGAAGAGTGGCTGTAGCCATCGTCCGTCGTTCCTCATTACTGTCATACTGTGGTTGTGGGACTGGAGTGAAGTGAATGAGATAGGTGTGAAGTTGCATATTTGTCTCTCGAGTTAGGTGGTTAGCAGAAAGAAGTGAAGTTGCATATTTGTCTCTTAGATGGAACCCAAAAAGACTAGAGTTGCATATTTGTCTTGGGGTTAAAAGTCAAAACAAACCAAAGTGAAGAGCGGCTGTAGCCATCGTTCGTCGTCCTTCATTACTGTAGTTGCCGGACTGGAGTGAAATAAATGGGGTAGGGGTGGAGTTGCATATTTGTCTCTTGGGTTAGGCAGTTAGCAGAGAGGAGTGAACAACGGATAGATTTATATCTTAGATGGAACCCAAACAGACTAGAGTTACATATTTGTCTCTGAGTTAAAAGTCAAAACAAACCAGAAATCAGTGTTCTGGAGGAGAAAGAAAATGAATAGCAAGCTCTGCATCCCTTCTCAATTCAATTAAAAGGGACAATTTGGTCAAAAAAACCCAACTTACCGTTTTCATAATATATTTCAAAACGTATCAGAATTTGTAAATTCATAATAATTTTATTAATTTTTTTGTAAATAAAAAACAAACCCCTAAAATTTACTCCCGGTGGAGGGCCATCACAAATTTATTAATTCTAAAGAAATAAACCTAAGAGGGGGACATAAAAACCTTACCCTCGAGAAAATCTATACAAATTGGCTAACTCATAATTAAACACAAGGGATCCGAAAGCCAGGGAACCAAATCGAAACCAAAAAAGAAACAAAAATCTCAACGGATGTGTAAGAACGGGGGAGACAAGAAAAATTTTCCTTAATCAACGATTGGATATTTGCAGGACAGTCGAAGATGGATGAAAATGTGGAACCGTGAAGATCGCAGGCAAAATTCGCCAAGGAGTCCGCAACTCTATTCCTTTCTCTGTAAATACGGCGAATAGAAAAGTGGATAGGAATAATAGCTCTCACTGCCATCAGAACATACCAGGTCGACCAAGGAGGAAAAACAACCCCATTAATGCAGTCAACTAAACACTGGGAATAGGAGTAAACAAGTAAACCCGTGCTAGCCGTGCAATCCATCCTTGTCGCAAGGATTAAGCCATCAAGAAAAGCTTTTGCACCACCTACCTGAAGAATCCAAGTATCAGGGAGTTTTCGTGAAGGGAAAACTAAAAACATGTTTTTTACCCGCGTAGGGAAAATATAAAGGCCCAGATTGCTAAATTTCAAGAATCCACTGTAAAGTACCCTTGAGATCGGAAAAAAATAGACAAACCTTATCAAATGATCAAATCAGCACACAAACATGATCAACACAGCATACAAGGGAATTAGAAATTTAGGAGTGAAATTGATTCTATTACACAGCGCCCAAAATTTAGGCAATGGGAGGCATGTCGAAGTACAGCAACTAATTTCTTATTAAACGATTTGAGTTTACATTTAAGAACAAAACTCTGTTTTCCTGTCTCCGAGCATGTGCTTCTCTTTCACCCACAAAGAAAAAGCAAAGACGTGAATGCATACATTTGATTTGGGTCTCCCAACGACAGCCAATAGGTTTCGCAAGTGAACCCAAGCTCGAGAGGTGGGATAAGGATAGAAGACATGAAACAAGGAAAACCCTCCAAGACTCTTTAAATTATGAATTTATGAGACCATCCAAAGCCGCTGCCCTAGTCGCTTGTCACCCTATTATTTACAATTGAATGCGCCGTCTCAAACACAGACCATGAGACCAACATGTTCTTCCCAGAGAACATCTGCACACCGAAACAAAAATATGAGTTTACTAAGGTTACAATCATAATCACAACAATTGTTGCTATAAAGAAAATAATGGTATATCTGGGAATAGTCAGAAGTACAATTGAACCAATCTACTGAACTAGCTAAAATGGTAGATCCATCCCATTTATTTTTTTTCCTTGGTATTTTCTCTGTATGTTATCATGAAGACCCAATATCCAATATAATATTTACAACTTGCTGAATTTGGACGTTGGACAAACTGTGTAATTTCTAAAATAGAAAACTAAATTCAAATACTAGCAGAAAAATTTCAAATATAATATGATAGTCGTCAACAGTGAAACCATGGACTTAACCTTACCAAAGACGTGCGAAAATGGAATATAAGAGTTCAATTGAAAGTGGCTTCATTTGGCCAGAAGGAAACCGGAAGCGAGAAGAAAATTATGATAAAAGATCTGGCTGACACTGGATATGAAAAGCTTATATGGACAGTATCATAAAAGTGGTAACCAAAAAGTCGGTGTTTATCAAAATTCACGCAGGGGGGGAGGGGGTGAAAGTGAGATGAGGCAAACCCTTTCTCACAAAAAGAAAACATTTCTTTTATATTTTTCATTTTCTTTGCAACCAAAGCAGCATAAACGTCAGTCAAATATATACACATACTACATACATACTATTGCTGGCTTTTCCTGAACTCTGTAAGGACTGGGTAAATGTTCTCAAAAGCTGTGTACGTTTCATCCCTCACCTAAAAATTTTCAGCACACACAAGATTGCGGGTTAGAATGGCCATCAAAAACATCATATAATAATAGATTACATGATAGAAGCACAAAAAGTTGGAAGGAAAAATTATTGCAGTCGTATGTAATCACCTTAGCTCCCGTCAAAACAATTTTCCCAGACACAAAGATGAGGAGGACAATCTTTGGTTGCTTCATCCGATAGATCAGACCTGGGAATAATTCTGGTTCATACTGTACCAACATGATGCAGCTGCGTTCAAAATAAGAAAGCCCACTCGGAAAGCCCAGAAAATACATGATAACCATTTTCACTACTATGGTAAGCATTTTCAGTCTTGCACAAAAATGAAAATTGTGCAAGACTTCATTACCTGAATACCATAAAAATCTATTAAGGGCATTATGGTGCATGCCCTACAAATTTCTTGTTTGCACTGGGGTTGCTCATTATATATTATAGCTTCAACACTACAATTAAAGAAATCTAAGTATGTGCATGGACATACATAACAAGAAAAAAGCAGTAAAATAAAAATATTGTGCATCAATGACGGATCTGATGGTGATATAACTTGTACTAGAATATTCCTTGCAAAACAATCAAACTGAAAACTTGAAGGACAGAAAACAACCACTTACACTTGAAAAGGCACCGTGGGAATATGCAAGACCTTCAAGCCTGATAGGAAATTTCACATCACAAGAACCAACTATGTTCTGAATCTTGAAGTCCTGCAAATAAAAAAAAAAAGATGATGTGATAGGGTGTAACCAGTGGGTGTGCACGCATGTGTGTGTGTGTGGAGAGAGAAAGAGCACCTTAAACTTAGCAGGAAAACCAAGCTTCTGAATAATTCGAGCATACTGAGAACAGAAAACTACCATGTCAGAACTAAGATTTTTTTAAGTGAAAAAAAGACCATGTGATATTTGGTGAAACAATAAGGCCCTGTAACTGATCAAAAAAACAATAAGGCCCTGTTCAAACACACTATCTTTTCTAATTAACCATAATTCCTAGTAGATGTTTATCTCAGATACAGTTGATATATCATCTTACCTTCCTTGCAGCCAGTTTTGACTGTTGTTCACTCTTGGCTCCAGTACAAACCTAAACAGCAAGGTTCACAACTCAGGATACAACAAACATGCTAAAATGCCCATTAACATGATCTTAATTTCTTCAAGATAAAATTCTGCATAGGTGGACAACAAATGGCTGATTACCAATCGCAATGCACATAAGCATGAAGCCATGAAGGGAAGGAAAATATACAAGCACCCAAAAGGAGACAGCAAAAATGTCACCTCATTTTTTAACCGAGTCTTTTATATATGGGCAAATGGATTTTGTTTAGAAGACCGATTGTGGCTATTTAGTGTATACATCATGTTTCCTTCTTGATTGCTTCAACACTTTTACATTGGTAGTTTGGTACATTAAAATACGAGGCAAGGTTTAGATTATTCATTGTATTAATTGACCAATCCTATGAAGCAGTAAAAAACAAGACATCATAATAACAGTCAACCAACTCAATCGCCACCCACCAATAACAAGTTTTGCTTAATTTCTAACTACAGTAATGTTGTAACGCAGGGCTAAAACAGAGAATCATGGCCTTCCATGTATTACTGTGGCCCCACCACCGAGTCACTTCATTTAATTCATGGTGGGGCCACAGCAAAACATCAAGGCTTTTGACTGCACTGAAAGAGGAGAAACAACACCATTGTCACTTCAGAATTTAAGCAGGCCATTTACATCTTCCTCCATTGGGAATTTTAGAACCAAGTTCAAGTGACCATAGGTGGATGTGGTCCCAAACTGATCAAGATCACTACCAATCAAGGTTCAATGTATCGATCCAGTATTGGTCCTTCTTTTTTTACTTTTACTGTTCAAAGTATCGATCCTGTATTGGTCCTTTTTTTACTTTTACTCTTTTTTTTCCGATTTTGGTTCAGAGGGGCTGGTTTAAGTCCCGGCTGACCCAATACAACCCCTGTAGAGGTGTATCGGGAAGGGCCCGATACAATACGTATCGGCCCATATCGGCCGATACGTAACGATTTTTTGAACCTTGCTACCAATATCCAACATATTCAACCTATTCAACAAAGATAGAGTTTTCCCTAGCTCCCCAAAAGATGGTCATATTAAAGAACTAAGAAGTCCTCCAAGGTGCAAGAGAATTTTCTGACTTAACTGGATTAGCAGGAAAAATTTAACAAGCAAATATCTAAAAAAATTAACAGAACCTGACATGGTCAAGTAAAGAGAGAATCAACTCACCATCTTTCCAGATGCAAAGATCAATGCTGTAGTCTTAGGTTCTCTGATTCTCATTATAACAGCAGCAAAACGCTGTTACAAAACAAAACATATGAGATGTTAGTTACTGTAAGTTGTAAGATCCCAACAAAGAAGAAAAAAACATGATGCACAGTTAGCACGAGAGTGCATGAACCCCACAAGTCAACATTATATCTAGTGGTATGAATATGATTGGCAATGTAAGCAACATACAAAGCAACCAAGTTTCACATAATTTTAAGCATTGACCATTTTTATATGTTTCTGGGCTAAACTCATATTGTTGGCTTAAAATATTTTATGTTGTTAACAAAACAGTACTACTGACATGGTGGTTGGCCTGGACAAGGCCTAAAAATTCTGGCTTGGAACAAGGATCCAACCTTACTCAAAACTGACATTTTAATTTTTAACCATAGTATAGTATTCATATGAATCAGTTTCAAAGGAAGTCTTTTAAGGAAGATGAACCCCCTTTCATTGACAGAACAACAGGAAAACAAGGTGAATGGTGACAATGATCGGGTGACACTAAACCAGCGGTAGCAGCAGCGGCAAGCTAGCAACACTAAATCGTCACCGACTCGGCAATCTTTGAGAAAAAAACTTCACTTCCTTCTAAATGATGACAACCATTCAACTAAGATCAAATGTTCGTGGTCATTTTGTCTTCCTAGCTTCTTGGGTGGGCGAGGAGAGAACAAGGGGTATTTGCACCCCAAGAGGTTTGTTTGGAGGTGGTTGGGCTGCCTTTTCAAATTCTCTAAAACCCTCCATCCCTCGATCTCGGTCGCATTCGATTACCAAACTAGACTCTTTGAGCTCCACTCCCCCTCCAAAAATGATTAGCCACGTTGTTCGTGTGGGTGGCAGAAATTTCATCAACATTTGTCATCCTTCGAATCCTTTCGGAATATGGAAGCCAGCCTTTGTGTGCGAACAGCTTGGAGATTCGGACTAGTATGATGTGGAGAGAGATCTTTCTACTAACTTCCATTCCTCAACCCTGGTCACGTTGAAACCCTTAGGGGAGAAACTGGCAATTGGTTTTGCCGAATCTGAAGATCAAATCAATCGGTGGGTTCAACAGGGTTCGCTTTTGTTGTATGAGGAAAGGATTCTAATCAAGAGATGGTGGCCCTTATTCAACTCGGCAGAGAGCTCCTTAGTTTTTGATGGTTGGATTGAAATCAGAGGTCCTTTTCATTTGTGGTCCAGGACAACTTTTGAACTGGTAGGAAGTCTGTGTGGAGGACACAATGCTTCTCAAATATCTGTCTCGTGCCAAAATTAGAGTTAGGAGTAGAAGTCTTTGTGCGATCCCTCGTTCTATTCCAGTGCTGGAGCAGAATGAGTGGTTCAATATCGTGGTTTCGCCGAAGAAGAAGACTAAGTCAAACTCGGTGACTCGGGATTGCCTTGATTCCCCCACCCTTGAAGTCACACGTGGGAGGTCAAAAGAATCAGAATAGAGATAAACAGGACAAATTTTTCAGCTGATCTAAACCCCTTTTGGGCTTCTCTCCCACACTAAATGAAAGGGTTTCAAATTTGAATGAAGTGGGCTTGGTGCGGTCGGCCCAATCAAGTGGCACAAGGGGTAAAGCCGGCCTACCTCACCCATCTCACTCAACCCTAAAGGGTGGGCCAGCCTCCTCCAAACCTTTTCCCTGGGCCTCCTCTTCTCAACACCAAGTTCTTCTTAGGAATAAGTTCGTTAGCTTGCAACAAATCCCCTAGCTGACGGTTTAGCTAAACAAGGGGCGGAGGGGACTCACTGTTTTGGGCTAAGCTGTAACTATAGTGTGTTTTCTTTCTTTCTTTTTTTCCTTTTCTTGAGGTTCTTTGTTGCTCTTGGAAGATAAGTGTGTTTGTCTTCCTATTGTAAATATTCTATTGATGAGTTAATGAAAGTGTTATTGATCAAAAAAAAAAGAAAAAGCTTGCAACAAATCGAGGACTAGTATCAGGAGGAAGACGACTCTCAAGTCACTCCCCTCTATCCTCTAGGAGTCTCAGCAACAAACCCCATCAATCTAGTCAGATGGGAAGGCAAGGATCCACTGTCCCCCCTTCTTCATCGACAACCTCTTTAGTTGATAGTGAAGGTTCAGAGGAAGACGTCTCAAACTCCTACCATCTAGAGCCAAGCTTAGATGATTTAGAAACAAGGTTACAAAATGTAGCGGATTTGTTCATAGATGAGGCTTCCTTAGGAAGAAGTGGAGGGATGAAGACAATAGAGCCAAATCAAGCAGTTGACACAAATTCAGCTTCAGCTAATCCCCCCAAATCTCCTTGAGGTCTTCAATCTCATAGTCGAGGTAACCACCATTCTTCCGTTTTGAACCCTCATGCTCAGTTTCCATCTTCAACCAGTACTGTTCCTTGTGCATTTGCATCTTCTTCCATTTCAGAGACAGGTCGGTCCCCCCACCATTCCTCTCCTTCTGCTCTTGCTAAGAAGGGGTTAATTCAAAACCAAAGAGATTGAAAGTAGATTGCTCAATTGAAAACGATTCTAGCGAGGGCACGGATGAGTTGGCAGAGATATTGGGGATTTCAAAGAAGGGATTAACCACCATTCTTCTGTTTTGAACCCTCATGTTCAGTTTCCATCTTCAACCAGTACTGTTCCTTGTGCATTTGCATCTTCTTCCATTTCAGAGACAGGTTGGTCCCCCCACCATTCGTCTCCTTATGCTCTTGCTAAGAAGGGGTTAATTTCAAAACCAAAGAGATTGAAAGTAGATTAATCAATTGAAAACGATTCTGGCGAGGGCACAGATGAGTTGGCAGAGATATTGGGGATTTCAAAGACGGACAAGAAAGGGAAGCAATAGAAAATAGGACAATTTCTTTCCGAGGAAGGGGAAATTCTTAATCCTAAATCCATTAGGGAGTTAAAAAAAGCTTCATTGTGATCTACATTGGGGTGCCAAATCGGTAGAGGATGGAAGCAAGAAAAGAATTCAGGGAAGGGTCTCAAGCCGTCAAGCGATTTTCGATGAAGATTATTTCTTGGAATGTGAGAGGGCTTGGTGTTGTGAACAAAAGGGTCTTGGTGAAGGAGACTCTAAGAAGACCAAATCCAAACATTGTGGTCATTCAGGAAACCAAAAAGGAGATAATAAATAGGAAATTTGTTGGAGCGATTTAGGGCATTAGAAACAAAAATTGGGCATATGTTCCTTCTATTGGAGCATTTGGTGGTCTTTTGATTATTTGGGGTGAAAGCCTCCTATCTAGGTTGGAAATTGATAGAGGTCAGTACTCTCTTTCAATTCTTTTCTCTAATAGAGAAGATGGTTTTACCTGAATTTTTATAGGTGTGTATGGTCCAAATAATCCTAGATTAAGAGAAAGATTTTGGGAGGAATTAGAGGCAGTAGGATCAAATGGGATATTCCAGTGGTGTGTTGGTGGAGATTTTAATGTAACCAGGTTCCCTAATGAGAAGTCCAATGGGAGTAGAATCACTTGTAGCATGAGAAAGTTTTCAAATTTTATCCAAGACCACTCACTTGTTGATCTCCCCCTCCAAAATGCACACTACACCTGATCAAACTTGCAAGCGCAAGTGATCTGTAGCAGATTGGATAGATTCTTAATCTCCCGTGATTGGGAGGATCATTTCCCTCAAGTCTCTCAAGAAACTGCTCCCTGATGCACTTCAGACCATTGGCCTCTAGTACCAGATACAGAAAGAGTACATAGAGCTAAAGCCCCTTTCAGATTTGAAAAACAATGGATTCTTCACCGGATTTCAGGAAAGAGATTGCAGCTTGGTGGGCGGATTGCTCGGTGGAGGGCTGGGCTGGCTTTAAATTCTCTTTGAAACTTCAATACATAAAAGGGAAGTTAAAGCAATGGAGCAAAAGAAATTTTAAGTCTTTCGTGGAAGAAAAAAACAATATATTGGGCGGCTTATCAAGGCTGGATTCTATAGAAGCACCAGGAAGTTTGAGTATAGATGATTTGGAGGAGAGGAAGAAGTTAAGGGCTGATTGGGAACTATTAGTTCGACATGAGGAAATTTTCTGGAGACAAAGATCTAGGGTTCAGTGGCTAAAGGAGGGGGGCAACAATACAAGTTTCTTTCATAAGATTGCAAACAATAGGAGAAGAGTTAACTCCAATTCCAAGTTGCTGATAAATGGTAGAGAGACTGAAGATCCTTTACAAATTAGGGAGGAGATAATAGGTTTTTTTTTGAAACTCTCTATTCCTCTGAAAGAATTTGGACACCTTCCCTAAGTGTTTGGTCCAGCCACCTCATCCCTTAGCCTTGGTTGGAAAGGAGATTCAAAGAGGAAGAAATTAAAGATGTAGTTTTCTCCTCGAGTGAAGATAAAGCCCCAGGGCCTGATGGTTTTCATTGAGCATCTATCATGAGTGTTGGGAAACTTTGAAATCTGACTTGTTAGAGGTTTTTGAGGACTTCTTCAAATCGGGGAAGATAAATAGAAGAATTAATGCAACATTTATCAAGCTGATAAAGTCTTTGAACATCCCTTTAGTTGTGGTAGAAGGTGATTCAAAGGTGGTCATTAGCTGGATGATAAATCAACAGGAGGGCCCTTGGAGATTTTCTCATATGATAAATGAGATCAGGACTATTCAATCTCAGATTCATTGTGTCTTCAGGTGGATTCCTAGGAATCTTGAATTCAGTAGCAGATGCTCTTGCGAAATCTGGGGTGGGCAGGGATTTGTTGTACAGCAATATAGAACTTCCTGTTTAATGTTTAGGGAAGGCTTTTTGTTGCTTTTTGTTTTGATCTTCCTCATATACATCTTGTATATCTTTCCCTTCTTTAATGAAAGTTTCCTTTTCTCAAAAAAAAAAAAAAGAGTTAAATATTGATACCAGAAAAAATGAAGCATTAATAAGCTACTATAATTCTACAAAATTCTCTCGAGCTTAGATCTCCTAAAAGCAAAAAGTGTGCAAACATGCTGATAATACAACATCCAGGTACACATCGGGAATATCCCCCATACTTGCATGTTAAATTCATGGGAAGATGTCCGCGATGTGGGGCTGGACGCCATGCTCACACACTTTTTGCTTTCAGAAAATCCCATCTCATTTTTGTCTCCCCTTTCCCAAAATTTTCTCAACTTTTTCATATCTCTTGTCTTGTTTTTGGCACTGTAATGGATCCCCCCCATCCTCTACTAGATCTGGCACAAGACTAAAAGCGAGACAATCCCAAGAATATTTAAACCCATGTAATTGATCGAGCTCAAGATTATACCCAATCTGTAATTCCTACCAAAGCAATATGGACGAAAATTTATTGAATTGACTTTCATTTTGTGATGTACCTTTGGATTATACTCTGCATTTCGAGCTTGAAGTGCAATGGCCTTAAGATCCAGCTTGCAATCCAAGTTGACAGTTGACACAATGTTCCTAAATGTGCAAAGAAAACAAATGAGATATTTCCAACAACATTGAGAAAAGAGGCCATGTACATACTCCCATGATCCATTTGCATGTTGCATTTTACAAACTTCTACATGCAAGATTATTCTAAACTCTAAAGCATTCAATTTCAGAAACATGGCGAGGGGTGAAAATGCATCATAGACATTTTCAAGTTTCCAACGTAGGCATACAACCCACTTGAAGTGACCATGAAAGACAGTTAAAAATCTTTCCTTAACAGCTCAGTACAAAAGAATAGTTCATTCAAGTTTAATTGTCCAAATTCCATCCTACAGTCGATAGAAACCCTGAACTTCACATGTTATGTTGTTTGGGGAACTGGATGAAGTAGATATCGAGTTCACTAACAAAACCTACAATGGGAACCAAAGAGTCGAATAAATATGTAAGTGAACGTGTGCAACAAGAAGATTAAGGCTCAATAGGAAGAAAACTAGCTGTTCCCACCGAATTGATTGCATTAAAAGCTCCAGTTTTGATAATAAGATATACAAATGCGGCAAGAAACTACTACCAAGAAAATCCCATCTTATAGTATACTGCAACAAATGGCACTTCTTCCATCATCTGCGACATTCAGCTAAGGCATGACTTCTTTTACGGCCAGTTGGAGTTGCAGGAAACCCCACAGTAATACTTCAGCATTTGACAAAATTAGATAAAGGATCAAGGTTGTGCTTCATTCGAAGATATATCGATGTCATAAAAAAATAAAAAATGAAAAAAAAATAAAGAACCTAGGTTTACAACATTTTCTCTCTATTTTCTCTTCCGTACAGGAAAAGAGATAACAGTGCCAATTTCTTGGGCATATAGCTCCATATTACAGAACAACCACCGTCATCATATCAATTAATGGCGTTACATTCACCGGTAAATCTTACTTAACAATCATATATCAGTCTAACCTTCTGAGATAAGACAGAAGGAAGAAAGAACTTACTGCAGCGTAGGAACAATGCCAGAGGGATGCTTGGAAAGATCCACCGGTTGGCTCCCTTCCAAGACTTGATCAGCCATGATACCTTCTAATTCAGATACCTCCTGCCCTTAATCAAACCCCGGTGAGAACACGAGAAAATAATTCGCCTACCGATTTCTCCCGCTTATAGGATTTCGACCCTACGCCCAGATAATAATGTTCCGGTTTTATCCAAAACTGAGAAACCGAAGAAGACAGATATCGAGGATTATCTATTATCGTTCTCTTCTCCCACCCGTTTAGATTAGCTTATTCCGTCAGTGTTAGAGTTTTATAGGCGAGGATTATTCGAAACTACGATATCCAAGCGAAACGAATAACTGATTTATAGAAGAAAAAAAAAATCAGACTAGATTGCTTGGAATCTTGATTTTTCAAGTGATCTGAACTAAGAATCTCATAAATTTTTGTCAGAAACGAAGAGAAAGCCGACCGTGAAAGAGGATCAGGCGATTCTCCTTTCTCTGAAGTGCGAAATCAAATGTTTCTCTTCAAAATCTAGGGATTTGAGAAGAATCCGAACCAGATATCTATGAAATTTCGGTTGAAATCGAATGAGAAAATGGATGAGAGCGGCAAAATTTTGAAAATAGGTGTCTTTTATAGGTTTTAGAAGAGAGAATCTGGAGCCCGATGGAGATTTTTAGGGTTTGGTTGGTTTGGAAGCGATGTAAGAGAGTAGGGAGGAAGGACGATAGAAAAAGCAGGGGTGGGCGGACGAGAACCGATGCCTTTTCTATCCTCCCCCTGGTATATATAGCCTCTTACCGGTTAGGGCAATCTTCGTCCGGTAACCCAAAAACCTAACCGGATATTCCCGGTTTCACAAATTTCCCTTTTATACAATCAGCAATCTTCTAGATTCATTCTATTTCTACCTTAAGTAGACAATGAAATTACCTCATTAACCTAACTAACCTGAAGCTTTTCCGTCTGTCTGTACCATACACGTGGGAGGCTTTCAGAAGTCGGATCATCGAATTAGTTTGACCAACGTAGATGGATTTTAAACGTTTGATCTATCAAATTCCTCTAAATCAACCGTTAGATGCATGACCGTTTTACGCCGCTGTGCCCGAACAACTAGTGGCAAAAAAGTAATTTGGACGCAATCCCTTTAATTATTTATTGACCTCTTTTGTCCTTTTCTTTTCTCCTTCTATATATAAAATAAAAAATATTCCTGATTTTTATGCTCCGTCTTACTTTTTACAAAATTCAAAGAACACAAGTGCATTTCCTCCGCCAATAATCAGAGGTTTGCGGGCAGACGATACGGGCAACGGGCAGATGCGAACCTTCTGATTCGACCAGAGATGGTGGTGGTTTGCACAAACACATCCTTAAAACCCTAATCCTTGCCCAAAACCAGAGAAGACTTCCCCCTTCTCTTTTCCTCTCTCTCTCTGTTGAAATCTATCAAACAATAAGCAATTTCCAAAACTAGGTCAGCTCTTTATTGCTCTGTATCTCTGGATTTAGGTTCTTTGTTTCGTTTCTTAATCTGGTTTTTTCGCCTTTTATTGGCTATGGAGTTGTTGGGTTTTTACCTTTTTATATATTTTTTCCTGTAAATCTGTTGCGGCTGAGGGATAAAATTATCGCTTTAATTACGTTGATTTTGTTGTATGCTTGATTGTTAATCTTCTCTTTTTAAGAAATTACATGGTAATTAGGAATTATGATTCTTAGGATTTTTTCTCGAAAGATCGGATCAATTTGGATTCTGTGTATTCGAAGAAAAAGGAAAATCTTGGGTACTGTTACATTAAAGCCGATTCTGATCTCTTTTATTGATTGGCTTTCTCAAGTTCTAATGGATTGTTGGGTAATTAGAAATCCATGTCTAATCCTTTTTAAGGATCTGCAATCTTGATTATCGTTCTGGGAATTTAATGGTGGGAGAGACCATTGGGGAATTCCTGTCTATCCCTGCTTTTATTAATTGGGGAGGGAGGGANGGAGGGAGGGAGGGAGGGAGGGAGGGGAGCAGCGTTTGTAAATTTAGGCCTCGATTAAATGTTTGGAGCTTTGGAGTCTGTATTGTTATTTTAGATATACGTCTCATGGATGTCACATTTTGGCTGGAATTTTTATACTGTAATTGGAAACTCTGATTTCGCATTCTGTGCTCTGATCATTTTCATATTGTTGAGTGTCTATATATATATATATATATATATTTTGCTAGAAATGTCTAATACTGTTGAAACTCATAAAAAATGAGTGAGAATTGACTCCTTTTCCTTGTATGTTGAGGATCGCATTTTCAATCGCAGTCTCCATTATCTGGTTGCAGTTGGGTAATGTTTTATAAGCAGTGCTGTTAGCTTCTTTTTTTTTTTAATTTCTGGGTGTTTGGTTTTGAATTCAGGTTCCCTGTCCTGACAATGAGGAAAATGAGATTGGGATGAAACAGCTGAATTGTTACTCTTAACTCTCGTGCCGAGTCCTTCAGCAGGCCACTAAATGTGATTTCTGAAGAATAACGTAGAAGATTGAACTTATCAGGTGTTTATAATTTCCAAGATTGGCTTCCATTGTGCTGGACAGAAGAGGAAAAGACTGAGAGGCTTAGAAACCTCAGTGTTACTGCCACAAAGCTGGGAAAGTTTTTTCTTTTTTTTTCGAAAACAGAATTGGTGAAGCTTCGGGGCTTTTGTTTTGGTCAGCTTCCAGGTTCTGAATTTTGTGTTGTGCCATTGTTCTATCTGTTGGAATTTGCTTCTCAACTTTGTGAGAATGGCTCAAGAAAGCTGGAAGAAGGAAACTGACGAGACTGAATGCCAGACACCAGAAGGCCCCATCTTGTGTGCAAACAATTGTGGCTTCTTTGGAAGTGCTGCAACTAATAACCTATGTTCTAAGTGCTACAGGGATATGTTCATGAAGCAGCAGCAACAATTCAAGGCATCTACGGTCACTCCAGTTGCTGAAAAGGTGCAAGCCACATCCACATTGGTACAACTTGAGCCCGTTGTTGGAAGGGTGAACAATAACAATATAGAGGAAAAACTTACTTTGCAAGAGGGTTCCTCAACATATGAGACTAACAAACAGCCTCCAAACCGTTGCCTGGCCTGCCAAAAACGAGTTGGATTGACTGGGTTCAAGTGCAGGTGTGGGGGGATATTCTGTGGTGTTCATCGGTACTCCGAGAAGCATGGCTGCTCTTACGATTACCGTAGTGCTGGTCGGGATGCCATAGCCAAGGCAAATCCTGTTGTGAAGGCTGAGAAGATTGAGAAGATATAAGGGAGGTCATGATCCTTAATGATGGATGGATGTTCAGAAAACAAAGATAATGCTGCTATCTCTCTGATGTGAGTTTGCAATATCAAATCTCTTAGTCTACTTTATAGAGGGAAGCACTTCAAAATGAAGAATAGGGCAGAAAAAGAAAGAGGAGGTGGAGGAGATAGAAAGAAAACCAGGTCTAAGTTGCGAATTGTTGCCTCAAAGATCGTGAACCAGATGCTTCTAAGTTTGATATTTTCTGGGTGTTTGTTGCATGTAACCTCCATTCTCCACAAATGTGAATAATTAAAATTTGCAGATCTGGTTAGATGTTATGTTAAAATTTAAAAATGACCTGTGTTTGCAGTTTGCCTGTTGGGGCTTACAGCATATATCTAATTAATGAGAAGGGTGTGATGATTTCGTAGTGATTGGAAGTTGCCGATTATTTTGTTTATCATTTTTAGCAGCTTTTCCAGTTTTCCTGTCCTGTCCTGCTAGATAAATCATATCCTGTGCGAAACAATTACCCATATTCATTATCAACACTCTGAATCTGATTTTTCTTCTTCAGGATTAACACTAAAAAATAAAATGAGATGACGGAACTCCATTTCCGCGCCAAGGAGAGCCTGCGGCTTATACGTGTTTGATTCCATGCCTTAATTTTTGGAGGAAGCCGAAGGATTGGCTGAACGCGGTAACTCCTTTTCTTTAGGAAGTATTAGCTGAACGCGATAACGTGAATATGTGATGGGCCTGATGGCTGTTCAGCAGGCTGCGGATGATAATTTTTCAACTCATGCCATATTTTTTTTCGGAAAAAAAAAAACATTTATGTGGGTAAATGCAATTACACGGGTAAATGTTTCCCAGGTAATACTTACCCCAATAAGCGTATTTATCTATATTTTTCTTTTTTTTTTGTTTAATTTATTCAGGTAACATTTACTAACTCTTGTTTTTTTTTTGCAACACCCACTTTCATGGGTAAGTTGTTATATTTTTCACCTCTTTGCCAATTTTACCCTTTCAGTTTTAGCTTTTTTAGAAGGGAAAGAACATTTTCTGGTATATGTGAATCACTCAAATTTTTTGAGATGAGAACCACTCAAAATTTTTTATGTCCGGGTATGACACATTTGGATAAAGATCTTTTTTTTTGCAAATTTTCACCATTATCTTGCTGCTTGCTAACTATAGTTGAAATTGTTGGTCAAAATCTAATTGAATAACATCTTTCAAGTTTGGGCTAATGGCATTCACATCATCTTCACAAACGTTAAAACAACCTCTGCATTCAACAATCAGAATCTAACTGAACAATAGGCTCTGGTTGGATATGGTTACTGCACATCATCTCTCCTATACAACAGTTCTGCAACTCTACTCCAAAATTGTTGTTGGATATGATCACTATACATCTCTCCTATCCTATGCACATCTGGAGCAAATAAAACAAGAATCAAATGAAATATCATAATCTAAAGCATACATTTGCATATGGATGGAACACTCATGGAAATCAAACATGTCTAGCATGGGCAAATGGAAAACATAAGCAAGCATTATGACATTATGATAATGTAATGGGATAATTTGTTCATGTTGTCATTAGCTTCTTTTTTTCTCTTTGTTAGGTTCTATTTCTTTATCTTTTTATTTCTAATCTCTTCTAGGGGGCCATTGCTTGGTTTAGAAGTAAAATCTCAGGCTGACAACCATGAAAATGCAGCTTTGAGTCTAAGCAGTCACATCATGCAATAAACAAATAAATAAAAGTAATGCCAAAAGTAATCTGGCACCAACATTGGGTAATGACCTTTCATTCCTCATCTCCTGTTTATTGTTAACAAAGTGTTTTTTCCTAATGAGAAAATACTATCAAACTTAGTCGCCCCCTGCATGTCATCTACCTAGACAATTTTACAAAATGTTAAATCTTTATGTTATTTTATTTTTCTTTATTTTCCTCTCTTGAGAAATTTTATTTAAACCTATCTATCTCAAGTTCATCTTCACCTCCCTAGAACCCAAAATTGACCCTACAAACATTTATTAACTAATTTTCTAAAACTGGATAATACCTATTTTGTCAACAACTTTTTTAAATTCCAAAATAAATGGATGAAAACTAATATTGAGGGGAAATTTTAGGATTGACTAACAATGATTTCTTTCCCCTTTATTTTATGTAGCTTACAACCTTAGCAACTGTTAAACTATGAGAATTTATGGTCCCTCTGCTTTTAACCCTCTAGCAAACATAAAGAGGTATTCTCATGGAGAAGGTGAAAGTCTGAGTTAAAATACAATCTAATGGACTAGAATAATAATATTAGCTCCCATGCCCCCCCCCCCCCCCCAAAAAAAAAAAAAAAAAAAAAAAAACACCCAGAAATTGATGGAGGTTTAATGAAGCAACATACTATGGAGATCAACCATTGTAGTAAGTACATAACAAGAAATTTTGGGTGGGAGTGGGTTCATGGTAAAGGATAGGATTGATAAATCCCATACCTCTTTCATAACGGGGCTTATATATAAAGTGGGGGATGTCTCCAATTGTCTTTATGAAGAGATCCATTGTGTGTTGAAAAACCTCCTATTAAGCTCTATCCATCTCCTTTCATTGCTGCAGAGAATAGAGATACATTAGCATGGAACTGCAAAGAAGAGGGAACAAGTGTAGTAGTTTGGCATCCAATATTCATAGGAAACCTCAAGGGTTGCTGCTACTTATCTTACTTAAGCTCTTCCTCATCATCTCATGAATATCCATATGTTTTCCTTTTAGCTATTCCATCTATTTTCCCTCTATCTACTTGCTTGACATGCCTTTGTGTATCTAAGCCTATTTGTTTCTTCACAATTTTTTACTTTTCCCCTAAACTCATGTTCTATTTTTTGAAAGAAATTGCACATCTAGTTAAAAAGCAGGGTGTGTGTGCACATCAACCATGAGAAAATCCTAGTTCCTCAACTTTTTGCCCTTAATTCCACTAGTATTGCTACATTATATCTTGTGGTGTCTTTACTCAATACACTCCACAAAGCTTGCTACTTGTGATATATAGTTTACTTATATTATCTATAAGTAACAAGAGATGAAAAACTTCCAATGCCATAACCTAACAAAATGTTCAGCACCTTCATGCTGACTAGTATGCTAATCCTACTCTTTTAGGATGGTCATATAAATATTTTCTTAGTGGCCTCTTCTCTATTGTTGTTTTTCATCAAACCAATCAAATCAGAGTAAGACAAAGAAAAAATAAAACATGGAAACCAAATATGCTTCAAACCTGAAAATGTAGACATGATGGCAAAACCAAGAACTGGACAAATATTGTAAATTGCAATAAATGACACATTTCTATGGAAGACTTTGGTGATGCATTAAACAGTCAAATCTCGTTCTAGATTGTGCTCTATAAAAGAAGGGTGGTAAACTGAACCAATACATTGTGTTGTTTAAGGTTAAATGGCTAATGTTTCATTCTGATTTGTGTTGCGAGTAATCTATTAATTGTTTCAATGTTTATTTGATGTCATGTGCTTTTACGTATTATAGCTTTTCTAGAACTCCGGTGTGCCAAATTACTTGAGTTCTTTTACCACCCAATCGAGCTATCTAAACAAAGAGTCAACTTCATGTGCTTTCAAGTACTCAAACAAACTATTAAACAAGGATTCATGAATATTAAGAAATGGTTCAAATCTCTAGTATTCCTCCCCACCACACCTAAAAAGTAAAGAAAAAGAGCATTAGCTTCATTTGAAAAACCCAATAAATAGCATGAAATTATTTCTCTATAATGCAAATGGATTTCAACAATCATTTCCAGAGACAAACAAAATTGTTTATATCCCTGAAGTTAACAATCTAGATCACACAAAAGACAAACATATAACCAAAAAAATAAAACAAAATAATAATAGTATCAGTTCAAGTGAACAAGGGAAGTGGCAAGAAAAGCTAAAGGTCTAACCATTGAGAGATGTATCCTGAGCCTCACATACGATCATTTCTCCTCATCGAGAAATCCATGTATTCCTCATGCTTACCAATGCAGACGTGCGCCTCAAAGGATGCGATTGAATCCTTAAACCCTTAAATTCTGGCAAGCTGTAGACTTTCCCGATGTTCAGGGAAGTAGTAACCAAAGAAGCCATCGGTGATAACGATAGGGCCATACGGAATCCAGGACGAGGAACAGTCACCAATTCCAGTACCGTAGCCATGTAAATTCGGCCGATTTTACGGAAGTGCCGCTGTATAAGGAAAGATCTAAGAGATAAATATGTGAGAAACTACTTAAATAAATCTCCTATGATGAGTGAGTGAGAGATTTCAGGAGACTAGAGCAAACATCTAAGACAAAGAGAAAAAAAGATGCATCTGTGCATCACATAGGAACATTAGAGTAGGAACAACGATTCTTACCAGGAAAAAAATATATAGCAGCCAGCGGTGACTAGTGCAGTAGTAGTGACAAGTAAAAGGATCGGCGACGGCGAGAAAGATGAAGATGATGGAAAAATAGAAGTGGAGAAACTCTCGAATGGGCAAAGCCTTATGTTTTGGGGGCATCTTTGACATTTTCATCTTTATTGTATTTACCTTCTACTTGGGAAATCAACTTACCTAAGTCTAGAGGAGGGAATCACTTATCTAGGTAAGTGATACCTGAAAAAATAAAATTTACTATGAGTCTCACTTGTTCTTGAAATCCGAATATGGGAAAGTTTTTTTTTTTTCTTTGGTAATCAAGATTACAAACAAAGAGAAAAGAAACAAGAGGTAAACAAAAACTAAAAGAAACTAAACTAAACTAACTACCACAACTTTGCAAACGATCTTCCTGGATCAAAATTAAATGCCAATCCAAAGGGATCGACCAACTCTCCTCCAACTAGGCGGCACCCTTTGCAGCCAGCTCATGTGCTGGGCCATTAAATCACCTGTGAACAAAAGAGAAAGTGAACCCCCTAGGCAAAAGTTTATAAATATCATGAAGTAAGTTCCACACCTAAGGATGAATGTCAAAATATCTTTCTTCCAAAGTTTTGATAACGAAACTGGTTGTCACTTTCTACCACTAGAGCTTGGAAGCTCAATTGTCTTGTTGATAGACAACACTGTCTTATAGCATAAACTTCACAAAAAATGAATGCGCCCTTAGTAGTAAAATACATGTATTCAGCACCTCTTACAGTGGCTCATGAATTTAGGGTCCGTTTGGTTTGAGGGAATAGGACCCTAGAATCGGAATCGGAATAGGCCATTCCATTTCTTGATGTTTGGTCGAACTAAATGGGAATGAGTAAGTGGAATGTGATACCCTCATATGGGGGAATGGCCATTCCCGACCCCTCCCCCGGAATGCCATTTCCATTCCTCTATTTATGTTTTTTTGGACAAATGACAAACACCTAGTTCAAAGGTTTTTTCGACAAAATTCTAATATCTTAGCAGTTAGTACCGACATAGATACATAAATGCTCTCTCTCTCTCCCAGGATTTCGATCTGCTTGCTGAAGTCTTCAAGCATGTAACTGATCCGGAGAAGTTCCACATTTCCATAGTTCAGATCTGGTCGAGTAAACTCAAGCTTGAAGAATCCCAGGCTATAGGTAGAAGGATTTGAATTTTGCTCTGCTTTACTCTTCCCAAATCTATTTATCTTTGTTCTGGAAGCAATGGATTTTTCCTTCTTTTCCGATACAATTTTTGAGGTTTAGGGATCTCCAATTCCGTAGTCGGCATCGAGTTTTCATGGTACAATCCCATTAAAGTTGGGATTTAGCTGCTCCTCATATAAGATTTTGTCATTTTAATTGAGACTAAACAGATTGGGGCCATTTTCATTGGAAAATGGGAAAATTACTTATCAGTACCCTATACTTTGGCTCGAGTGACAATTTGGTCCTCAAACTTTAAAATGCGACAATCTAATACCCGAACTTTGAAAATGTGACAATCAAGTACCTACTATTAACAAGTCCTTTAATCAACCGTTAATTAACATTTAAAAAGTCAAAAATGCCCTAAGAATGCCATCTAATTCTCCTTATCAACCATTCTAACATTGACAATAAAATGAACAGTCCCAAATTCTAGATTCTTCTAAACATCACCAACTTTTTTGTATAGAAGAGGCTAAGATTTGGAATTGTTTAGTTTTTTGTCAATGTTTGGATGGTCAATAAAGAGAATTAGATAGCATTCAAAGGGTATTTTTGACTTTTCAAATGTTACTTAACGGCTTATTAACGGACTGGTTAACGACAGGTACTAGATGGTCACATTTTGAAAGTTCGAGTACTAGATTGTCACATTTTGAAAGTTCAGGTACTGGATTATTGCATTTTAAAGTGTAGGGACCAAATTGTCACTCGAACCAAACTACAGGGTACTGATCGAGAATTTTCCCTTGGAAAAATTATAGTTGTACAGGTAAACCCTATGAGCTCTTGCTCAAACAGTTTCTTTCTTTAGTCTCGAAGGGAGAGCATACTAAATATTAGTCGGTGATACATATTATCTTGTAGAACTGGTTTTTTTGGGCTTACAATAATTCCATTTAAGAGCTGATGAACATTGGCCTGCACGCAGTAATCACCTCAAAAGGCACAATGCCGTCATCTCTTCATCAAAGACAACAGCAGCAGCCTCTAGCGGATCCCTACCCAATTTCACCACATTCTATGAGCAGTTACCAAATATCTATTTCTCTCTTCAGCCGAACTAGCCTTCTCATATTTCTGTCTCTTATGGTAGTTTTGGTGTTCTTTTCCCGTGGATGGAAAGTTTCATTTCAACCGGTGAGTGCTCAGTTTATGCACTTCCTTACTTATCTCAGCCCATAATTGGTTCATGAGTTCAGATGGAACTCGCTGTAAAAAATATGGGTTCAGATGCTAGTAGGCTAGGATTTATTCATCAATCACCAAAGTACAACCAAGTTCTAGCCTTTTGAGCTAAAGTTCAAATGTAGGAGTGACATCTTATTATAAATGCGAGATTTTTGTTTTTAAACATTCATGTTGTACCAATAATATTTTATATATGTTAAAAATATATAATGAGTAGATTTTTTGAGGTTCTTTTAAAAGGGACAGAATTGAAAATTTTGGTTGATTCCAATTCCAACTTCTAGTTGAACCAAACAGCAATTGGAATCCAATTCCAAGTGTTGACTGAACCAAACAGGTGCTGGGAATAGGTGAATCTGATTCCGATTCTTGGGGATTTCAGTTCCGATTCTGATCTGCCCGCGAACCAAATGCACCCTTATTATGATATGAAATATTATAATTGGTTTCACACTCAGCTGAACAGCGTTCAGCTAACTTGAATTACCATTCTTTGGAGTGATTCCTCCTCTGACACTCTTGAGTCTTGACTACTTTCATTCATTGGCGGGATGATTCTTTCTTGCCGATTATTCAGAAATCACTTAATTATAGAATCAGTTTTGAAAAATCAAAAAAAAAATTATTGTTTAATATCATTTATGTCATGTAATTAGTAGTGATTATTTTTTCTTAGAATCATCCTTTTCTTGAAGAAATGTGAATCACCTAAGAAACAGGAAACACAAAAATGGTAATCCCTTAAGATGTGTTGATTTCAGGATTCATTTTCCTGCCAATTTTTCAAAATTTGCAAAAATCAACCAACCAAACAGTTTGAAAATCATTCATTCTTCTTTATCCCATGTGCCGACTTTCCAAAAATCGGGCATCGATGCCAAACATAGTAGTGCATTGATGGTTCTATTCACATGTACAATTTGTTCACAGATCATTAGACAAGCAGCAGAAGGAATTGTTCTCTACTAACCAAGCTTGTTTTGTACTTGCACCCTCAATCTTTGATGTCTATCATTTAAATTTGACTGTAGCAAAAATTTCTTACTCTTTCAGTTCTTTTGCCACCTGAATTCCTCGAAGTTCAAAGTAGGTCATGCGGTTATAATATTGTGAAGCTCAAACTGTAGCCAAAATCTAGGACATTAATCCCATGTAGAGGAGCTGGAATTGTGAAGCTATTGGTTCTCCTCATGACGGAAGAAAGTATCGAAGTAGATTATAATTCCATTTTTCAAGGTGGAATGCACTCACATTGTTTCATCACTTTTCAATTCCCTTAACCGAAGCAATATTACATTCAAAAGAAAATGTGATAATTTAGTAATCGAACTTTTAAAATGTGATAATTCAGTACCTGTTATTAATCAGTCCGTTAATCAACCCTTAAGTGATATTTGAACAGTCCCACATCCTTGTCTCTTCTAAGTTGGTGACTGTTGATTAATGGACTAGTTAACAACAAATACACATTTTAAAAATTCGAATATTGTCACATTTTGAAAGTTTAGATACTGAATCATCACATTTTGAAGTTCAGAAACCGAATTATCACTTGAGCCAAATTACAGGATACTGATCTCGGATTTCCCCTAAATTATAATATAGTTTTCTAGAATTTTCCCCTTTTTGGGTTTTCAAAGGTTTTCCTCTCTCTACTTTGAGAGACTCCTCGGGTTTCTTCTCGTCGTCTACCCTCCATTATCGGTGAATTTTGGGGTGATTCCCCCTTCTCGTTTCTTTTTTGGTGTTGGGAGGTGGCCATATCGGTGGCTGTTTCGGGTGGTTCTAATTTCTTGGTACTAATAGAAGTTCCTTGGTGACCATTACTTTTCACCCCTCATGCCTTTTCGGATTGTCTTTACCTTTACGAGTTCTTAGATTGAATTGTATTGCAGTTTTCCGAGTTTTTAGATTGAATTGTATTGCAGTTTTCGGGAGGTTCTAATTTCTAATTCCGATTTGTATTAGCGGTTTTTAGATTGAAACCCCTCATGCCTTTTCGCATTCAAAAAAAATTAAATTATAATATTAATCTTATAAATTGGGAACCATAACTTAATTCTTTGGATTCTTAACCCAATGTTCATGATTTCTTATTTATGAGATTCGCGTTTTTCTTCAAGTTTCTCTTCCATTTTCATTGCCTATAACAATGAAAAGTTTATTATGTTTTGAAAGGTTTAACATTCTATGATAGAATGAAAACACTACCAAACTCAATAAATGACAATGAAAAAGCCAAAAACCACAGAAAAGAAGTGGAAAAATGCGTCTCAAGATAAGACCTAATATGGCATATACTCTCCCATTCAGATTTTCGAAAAAAAAAAACGAAAGCGTGGAAAATAAAAGGAATATAGCCTCAGAGATCTTGGTGGATAAGAATCATCAGTTGGGGATAACCCCAATCAAGAGTAGCAAATATTTTTCTCACATCACCGGCCAATACCGTTAATTCAATACCAGTTTTTAATGCAAACACACAAAGGAATCAAAAGCAGATGTAAAACAAGGGTCGGAATGTGAAGGATTGTGTGATGGTGTCAGAAGTAGCTGGTTGTGATATCACATAAAAAATCAGTGGGAATCCGTCTGATTGCTTTCATCATTCAACATCACCACCACATTCTCAACCCCCATTCATTAATCATCAAATTAGAAAAGAAAAATGAAAATGAAACAAAACTATGTCTCTACCTTGTCACCGAAAAACCCTATATTTTCTAGGAAAAAGATAAGGATCACCGGAGCTAAAAGGAAGATAATCAATTTTGCCTAACGATAGATTCCCCGTTGCTTTAGATAAAGAGCA